CCATATTCTTTAGGCAAGGGAGTTAACGGACTATAGAAGTCCAGTTTCCATGGGCATGTCTGAATGAGTCTCCAAAACACATCATTGACGTAATGGTGGAAGTGACTCACAAGACTGATATGATCATTTTCATTGTAGGTATCTTTTTTCGAAACTACCTATCTCCCTTTACACAGAACTACGACTACTACTGCTGCTTCTGCTGCTGCTGCTACTACTACTACTACTACTACTTCTACCACTACTACTACTACTACTACTACTACTCTACAACTAATCCATTTATATGGCGCTGTATTCCATGCATAGGCATGCTCTGGGCGCGTAGACATTACCCCGGTCAATTGATCAGTGTGCTCTCGCTATTCATTCTCAGCTCCCTGAGGAGTATACACCCCAAGCTGCATGTGAGGCGCTAGAAGTTTAACAGTCATCTCATCCTACCGGGTACCCACTCACTGCTGGGTTAACAGAGGCACATTTCGAACAAAGTCACTTGCCTTAGATGACACCCCATGTGCTACATGTGCTCCAGTGTGGGGCAGGAACGAAGCCTGTATACTATAGTAGCTGCAGTCAGATGCCATGCTGCAGTTTATTTTTAAAGAATGAGTAAATTATTTGCCCTCTATTTCAACGCACTAATGTTACTATATTTTGAAATTGTTAAGATTTTTTTCATGTGAAACGGGGGCGGTCGGGTAGCCTAGTGGTTAAAGCGTTCGCTCGTCACACCGAAGACCGGGTTCGATTCCCGACATGGGTACAATGTGTGTAGCCCATTTCTGGTGTCCCCCGCCGTGATATTGCTGGAATATTGCTAAAAGCGGCGTAAAACCATACTCACTCACTCACTCATGTGAAACGGGTTATAGTTGCCTCACATTTTTAATTGGACACGGTTATTCTAAATCAGAATTTTGAAATGAATTACTACGATAATTAACACAAGTCGCCATGTAAGCTGCAGACTCTGAGGGCCCTGAAGGTTTTCACCCGTCTTCATTTCCGAGGCAGAAACATATTAAACCTTTTTCGCAACTTCTAAAATCTATTTTACAAGACTTCTTGGCATGCAGTTTCAATTAAAGTGTCGGAAATGGATTTCACGAATAAAAAAGTATTGATCAGAAGAGAGGATGTCACCGTATTTTATTCGAGGACAGAGTCAGTGATATTTTCTTGCGGCTGCTTAGAAAACATACAATCTTGTCCATGTCAGTCTGCCATATATTTCAGAACCAAACTTGTTTTTAATATAAATACACTTGTTCAGAGTATGTAACCAAGTCTCTTTATTCTATACGAGAAAACACCTTCATCGGGATACCTAGTCGATTCCAACATGTCAATAATGGTGTTCTCAAAGTGAAAAAAGGTGAAGAATTACAAAAATATACCGCCCTGTTTAAGTTGTGTTATTAGTTTTTATCATGTCGAGATTGGTTCAGTGTTTAACACATTTGGAATTTGATTTTGCAAGTAGAACGCATTTATTGAATTTATCTAAAAACAAATAGTACTGGAAACTTTGAGACTGTCCCCATGAGTTAATCAAAGTCGTGCATCTTCAAGAGTGAAGTATTGGACGGTTTCTATTCACACCGCCACGGCCGTGGCGAATGCACGTATAGCGGTGGAATCTTAACAAGCTACTTGAAAGCCAGCTGAAAAGCAAACCCCAGAACTCACTGGGTATAAAAAGCGAATGGAAAACGGAAGACATTAATCGATTTTTAAGAACATGGGCCAGTCTGGCGCACCAATCCACTTCCATTAAGGGGACATAACTCCTAATGTAAAGTCCAATACGGGCGCAATTAAGCGATTTAACCTGCAGTTAATCTTTAATGTGTTCGAGGTTAGAAACTCAGGTTTATGGCATGGCCCCGTGCTCCGTAAAAGGCCCTCTTGTTTGGTTCCGCACGAACACTGCCACTGAGGGTTGTGTTGAGATCACATCGATCGCAGATATTCATACGAGTGTGATTATGGTGGTTCGAGGGTTGTGTTGAAGGGGGTCTTGGCAGTTCATTCTCAGTTTCACACGTGACACTTAAGACAGGCTGTCAGATACAGGAGCAAAGTTCGCCTTTAAGGGCGGTGAGAGGACAGGGTTGGTTGGTTGTTGTTTAACGCCGCACTCAGCAATATTCCAGCTATATGACGGCGGTGTGTAAATAATCGAGTCTGGACCTGACAATCCAGTGATTAATATCATGAGCATCGATCCACTCAATTGGGATCGACGACATGCATCGACCAAGTCAGCGAGCCTGATCACCCGATCGCCTTCGTAGCCTTTTACGGTAAGCATGGGTTGCTGAAGACCTATTCTACCCCGGAACTTCACGGGTGTTCGTGAAACGCTTACAAGATAACTTTCATCCTGAGAGTGAACACGGAGCGAAGATTATGTGTTGCATATCTGCCTATTGTTGCAAGTACCTATACTGTCAGAAAGCGCACATGTGTAACCCAGATGGTGAAACAAGTCGTAACATGCATGTGGTACAGTAAACTACGGTTATAACGAGGGTCTCAAAGGGACTACTAATGTTAGTTCGTTATAACCGTAATTCGTTATAAGAATATAAACAGCATAACTACAGCAAATAGTCGGGACTAAAAAGTTAGTTCGTCATATCCGTCAGTTCGTTTTAAACGTACGTGTTCGTTATAACCGTAGTTTACTGTACCTTCAGAATCAGGGACGAGAACATGAGTTTTAATTCATATGTAACAGAAAAATAGATAACAAGGATATCACGAAAACAAACTTAGTAATATGTTTTCACAACAATGACTTCTTGAACATTTGTTATTGTTTTCAAAGAACAAGAGGTATTAAGTTTGGCAATTGTAGTGGTATACATGATAAATGTTTATAATTTTAACTGAAGTGAATGGCATAAAACCTCCCTTGTTGACACGTCAGATGTTAACAACAAATGCTGTACTCTCTAGAATTGAACCTATAATTATGTCAGAGACACAGTGACTGGACGGAATGACATAAAAAAGGTTTTGTATATCAATGGTAAAGTTATTACTATGTTTTAATAATTTATATTTTCAAAGTAATAGTTACATTGTTGTTATATTATTTTAAAATGAACTAGATCAATGGAGACATGCAGATATTGTTAAAATTGAAACCCACAACGTTATGAGTGCGTAGTTTTATATAACCATGAATCATTCTACTCCATGAGAGTTATCTCCCTAACAATGCTTAGCGTACTGTGTGTTTGCTGTACATAGCGTAATATACGTAAGTGCAATACTATTGAACGCGACGTTCAGTCCCATTGGACCCTTCCAGTAGTAAAAGAACCAAGTTCATTAAACACATTTAAACAAAAATTAAGCCAGATACAAAGCACTGTGTCGTGTATAGTTCACATACAAACATACATTTTAAAGTCAACTCATTTGAGTGAGTGAGTGAATGAGTTGGGTTTAACGCCGTTTTTAACAGTATTGCAGTTATATCACGGCGTGTCAGCTTAATGTGGGAGGAAAGCCCGAAGTGATGCAGGTCTCAGACGTTTACCACTTCGATGAAACCCACGAGCACGGGTATGGTGCTGACAAACCTAGAAACATAATCGGGGCGAACCGGGATTCGAACCCACAAATCATAGGTTTCTGGCGTGCCCAAGGGACGCAGCTCTGCACATCAACTCATTTGAGGCAAATTTGATAGAAAATCATTTCCGTAATTGTTCAGTGTCTGAAAATGCTTTACATTATTCACTCGAAGGTCGTTATTACATTACATCGCTTAGATTATTATTCCGTAATTGTTCAGTGTCTGAAAATGCTTTACATTATTCACTCTAAGGTCGTTATTACATTACATCGCTTAGATTATTATTAAATGAAATTTCAAAATTTGGGGTAAAATCTGATCATACGTTTTATATGTATGTATTATATACTGAACCGCAAAAGAAACGTCACCCTAAGTAACATTGCATGAAAAGTTGTCATTTAAATATCTGGGTATTTTTTTGTCAAAGTTAAATTTAACATTACCCTGTCCGGAATTATGAAATTTGATGATAAGAAACAAAGCAGATGACAATATAACCGATCACTCAAACGCATCACGACAACGGCCATAGTAACCCGATGCACATGAGTTCCGTGCAAACTGAAATGCACATGCGTTCCTCCATTTCTTGCCCTATAAAAAAATCCAGATCGGATAACATTCATTCGTTATTGAATTGCTACCACATGCCAAGATTGACAAGAAATCAGCGATACGAAGCCCTTGGACGATTGTAAGCTGGACAAACCGCCCGGCAAGTAGCCAAGGCATTTCAAGTCCACGTATATAAATAAGGTTTCTCATATATCGAATCCATGGTGACGTTTCTTTTGCGGTTCAGTGTATGTGTCGACCCACCCTCAGATGGCTGTGTCAACATATTCGTTTCTGAAGCTGGATAATATTATATTCTATCAACTAAAATATTTCACTAATTCGTGCTTTTGTGTCCAATTATGTTTTTTGTTTAAAATACCGTTGATCACGTGTATTTATATGTAAATCATTCTGTATATTCCAAAAGGAAAGGATCGACTAGCTCCTGGAGCCTTTTTCTAATCCTATTGATTTTCAATAAAGTTAGATTGAATCCATTATTCACTTAAAACCATATCCGTCTATTTCATTCAATCGAAGGTGAACCTAACAACGCCCGAAAGCGGGACGCCATCTTGGAACCATCATTATATGTGACCACAAGTTCGTCCTTAGACGTTGGGTACGAGTGGCCCAGTAGTGTAAGGCTCCGTAGTTCTATGTATAGTGCTGCTTCCCTTAGGAGTCCAAGAAATCTCTGATCGCGGGTTCGAATCTCAGATTTGCTAGGATTAGGTTTCTACAAGCGCAAAGTGGTAATATAAACGTCTGGGACCTGCCTCACTTCGGGCTTTCCTCCTACATCAATGTCAATGTCAATGTCAATGTCAATACTGCTCTTCAGGAACAACGTGGATGCAGGAAGTCCTGTGGCTGGTGATGAGTGATGGGAATTTTGATTCGGCCTATCAGAAGCCCGTTTACTTCCGGTCCCCCTTTCTCGAGTTCAAAGATGACGTCTTGAACGAGGTTGGTCTAGAACTGGCCGAGCCGATGCCATCCCCGAGGGTGATCAAGTCCCACCTTCAGGTGAAACTGATGCCAAGACAAATCCAGCAGAAAAACTGCAAGGTGAGGAAAATGCGACCAGCTTAAGCATGCTGATCAAACCAGGCTGAAAACTGGCATCACCCGTGTCTGTCAACCCCGCCTCAGATCTCAAATGCATTACTTTCAGATCACAACTTCTTCGTAATTTTCTAAAAATGTATTTTTTTGTTTTCATGATTTGTCTGCTCAGGAGTGACAGAGTGAATACTGTTTCACGCCGCAGTTAGCATTATATAGTGAAGCAGCCTCTGTGTAATACAGTCTAGGCCTGACGAACCAGTGGTTTACTTCGGATAAGTCTGGGACACGATGACACATCAATTCCCTATAGGTCGCCCATTGTGGTCGTCAGAGGCAAATCCGTCGTCCGTATTGTCAACTAATGGATGCAAGATCTGAGGACCAAATAATACAATGGTTATGGCTTAGATACAAGTCACGGTCACATCTACTTGTATTTCTATGATAAGTAGGTCTACATTCAATGTGCCCCCACTGTAATGACCATACGACTGATAATCGTTGGACGTTTTCAACACCATGAACAAGGGGATGGCCATTTATTAAAGACTGGTTTGTTTGAAGTAATAGCGGAGGGTCCCAGTTTGAGGAAGCCTAATGCGAAATATGTTATTTTGCATTTGAAAACTGAAAACACAAGAAATTATTTTAAGAGTAACACACCCAAAGAAGGGCCACACAGGCAACTGGCATACATTTGGTACTAACCAGGTGGCGCTGCTGAGGTGGGTCCATATCAAGAAATGTTCAGAATGGTTCAATGTATAAGTGTGCCAAGTTTGGTGCTTTTAACCCAAAGTGCACAATTTTGATTAAAATCCAGCCTTAACCGCCCCACTAATAGTTGGTGATAACATCATACATTTGGTAATAACATTATACATTTGTGATAACATCATACAGTTGTGATAACATCATACAGTTGGTAATAACATCATACATTTGGTAATAACATCATACATTTGTGATAACATCATACAGTTGTGACAACATCATACAGTTGGTAATAACATCATACATTTGGTAATAACATCATACATTTGTGATAACATCATACAGTTGTGATAACATCATACAGTTGGTAATAACATTAGCATTAGCATCGAAACATACCACTCCTATATTTTAAGGTGTGATTAACAGTTTCCTTCTTTGACATTTGTCTTAATACCCAGTTATAACGGGCGATACCAGTTCTCCGATTGGGTGGTCATATACTACATCAACTGTTGCTCATACTATCAACAACTGGTTTGTGGCGCCGTGTACAGTTTTAGTATTGCTGACTAAGGCCTAAAACGCATTCCCTGACTACACTTGTAGTGATTAAAAAAATGTTTCACTGATTAACGTACATTGAGTATGAAGTACTTGATAGTCACGTCATGGATAGATCGATGGATGTTTCCGGTCTGTCTATACCGCATTTCTTCTATTAGACAGACGCCGGTTCTTCTCGCAAGCCGGCCTCTAACTGACTCCGGGTCATACAAAAATAGAAGCCGGGCCTCTATTAGACGTCTTGTCTCTTAGAGTCCGGGGCAAACATCCGATGACATTAATGACCTACATCACATTAACTTACCGCATGCAACGATTACCAATTTCCCGCAAATGTACCCTTTATGTGACTAGAATATGGGATTCGGTAAGGTCGTGCGTTGCCACTGTGCCATCATTAAACAGCAGGGTTAAACAGACGCAAGGTCAGCGGCTTGCGAGAAATTAATAGACACCAGAGCGTCTAATAAAGGAAATACGGTAAACACACTGAAACACAACAGTTCACTCATCTTCCCGAGGCAAGAGAGTAAACTTACTATAAAAGTCCAGTTTCCACCCTTGCCGAACTAGGCTGGTATTATGGAGTTACATTTTGGCTGGACTAACGAGTCTATGTATAGTCCAATCAAAATCGCGAACCGAAATCGAAATCCGGTTCGTAAACTGTCGTGCAGATTTCGGTCGATTGCAGGATTTGCAAAGCATGTGCACCGCCAACTCGTTGTCAGCAGATATTTTCCAAATCTTTTCATGTTTTTAATTAAGGTGCTCATGTGATTTGATGCATTTCGCGATGTAAGACCCGTTTTATCACAATATAGATCTTGATTATCGATCAGATCGTCTTGACTGGGCGCCACCATTGTGTGTGAATCGAACGCAAGTGATACGAGAGGTTGAATCTGATTGGTCCATAGGAGAGGCTTAGAAGGGACATAACTGGTAATAGCCACTGGTGGATCGAGTCCAGTAATTCCAGCCTAGTTCGGCAAGGGTGGAAACTGGACTTTTAAAGTCAGTTAACTCTCTTGCCTCGGGAAGATGCAGTTCACTCTACATGCAGTTTACTATTGTTCTGTGCAGGATGTTCAGCTTTTAATTTATTTGTGGCTCTATGCAGATCTTTGAATGAATACTCAATAACATATCGACAATTGTTTCTTAAATAGTTCCTAAACGTGCACAGGCCGTTCAGTTGTTGTATATACGGATGGGCATACACTGTTTGTGACTCCTTATATTCGTGATTGTAAGACGTGCACACACGCGCCCAGGCCCCCCGTCTATTTATATAACCGTGATATTTGCGACCGACAGAGATTTCTCTCCTCATAAAAACAGATAACAATAGTTTCGAGGAATGTAGTTCTTGTTTGAATATTACGCAATTTGTCCGTATGAGCTTTCCCCCCGTTTTCCACATTTTCTGCTTCTGAATAGATTGAGGTACTTTCGTTCATGTCGCTAGAGCTGTTCCTGGCTATAAGGGGCACCAAGACTGTTCACGGCATCGAAGTCGGAAATTCAATATGGCCACAAGACAGACATCTTTGCTTTTCTTTAAAAAGCCTTATCAACTGCCTAGGCGTTATAACGAGATCGGGTGGTCAGGCTCGCTGACATGGTTGTATCCCAATTGCGCTGAATGATGCTCATGATGTCAATCACTCGATTATTCACAGACCGCCGTCATATAGCTGGAATATTGCCGAGTGCGGCGTTAAACAACAAACCAAAGCCTAGGCGTTAAATAATCAACGTCACACACATGCGGTCTGGAAATAATCAAGTCTGAACCAGACAATCCAGTGATTGATATCATTAGCATCGATCTACGCAACTGAAATACGATGACATGCATTAAATATGTCGGCGAGCCTGACCACCCGATCCCGTTAGTCGCCTCTTACGACAAGCACAGTCGCCTTTTACGGCAAACGTGGGTTGCTGAAGACCTATTCTACCCCGGATCTTCACGGATCCGTTAGACACATGACCATTTTGTTTATGTTTGTTGTCAATGCAAGCTTACAGCATGATTGACTTCAGTCTGAAGGTATGTACTGAATCCAGTTGGGAGATGTGATATTTGACAAGCGTTTCAGACCAGTTTGAAACTTGAATAATTTGGCTGAGCCGCTTTGGAATTAGAACACACCAATGCATGGTTGTATTGATATTAACCAAATTGCATTAAGAACACCACTCTGTCTACTGTTTCATTACTTTTTGGCCATGGTTAAATTTATGAGATCAGAATTGTTCCTATCAGACAAGTTGAACATCATCTTCTTTGGACGTTTTAAAAAGACATTTAAAGTGTACCAATATATGCGTAAAGTGTTTAATACTTACAAGCCCTTATACATTTCACCGACACCTTGCTTCTCAGATCGTCGTGCTTTTCCGGAACCCCAAGGATCTGTGTGTGTCGTACTACCACTTCTACAAGTCCAGCTCTTCATTCGGAAACTACCAGGGGACGTGGGCCGAGTTCCTATATATGTTCCTGTCGGGGCACGGTGAGTGGGGGCTCGAGGGTCGGCGTCACTGACATGGGCAGATAGTCCAGAATTCGCGTGTAACATCACATTAGACCACATCAGATAGCATGTCATCACATACGTCGTATGGATTCAGTATTATATGAAAATACTAAAATATCTACTGATATTAACCTTGCAATAATACAATCTGTTTGTTTACAATTTATAATTTGGTGTATATTTGTCTGCTATACAATGATAACAGTTGTGAACGCGTATTATTGCTGATACATTGAGGTATATGTCTACAAGCCTGTATGTGTATATGCATATATGCATGGATGCGCCGGTTTGGTCAGTGTTTACGTCATTTCAAGAACACGGTCTCGCGAAAAACGTATGAACGTCAAATTTTGTCGTTTATATACTCATGAACATCAATTTCACGATGATGTGACCGACCTCTCGTCCAATGGAAAAGCCGTATATCGTGTAAACTTCAAATTAAAAAAATATATGTATGTGTGTATTTATGTGTGACTTGCATATTGTATACTTCTGCATCATGATTTTCGTAAACAATAGGTACATTATTTCATTATTGTATGTACAACTTTCCCTTATTAATTGTTAAATGACCTCGTTTGTTTGTTTGTTGTTTAACGCCGCAATATTTACAGTAAACCGAAAGTAATCTGCTTTCAGCATGTTTACTAATGGAACGCGACATAGTCATAGAGTCTGGACAAGACAATCCAGTGACTGATATCATGGACATCGATCTACGCAATTGGGATACGATGACATTCATGAACCAAGTCAGCGAGTCAGAACCCGTTAGTTGTCTCTAACGACAACCATAGTCGCTTTTTACAGCACGCATTTGTTGCTGAAGACCTATTCCAACCCGGATCTAAATGAACCTGTAGGGAGCGGTGTTCAAATAGGCTTTGCCTGTTCACCGATCCCATTTCTGCTTGTAGCTATATCTTGTTTTAATCATGATACGTACGGTAACTATGGGAGTGAATGTTGTTCCGTAGTATTCCAGTTATATCACGGCGATACTGTAAAACGTGAAATTAATGCGTCTCCAAAAGAATGCGACCGCTGGCCCCTAGTGCGGCGTTAAACAACAAACAAACAAACAAACAAACAAACAAACAAATGTATTTCACTGATAACAGTACCATTAAGAGGGAGATGCGTTAATGCATAGTTTTACATTATTGCATTGAATGCAGTATTAAAATATTATGTTAAAATACATCTGAATTTATAAATATAAAAACATTTGAAGAAAATCATGTTTTTTCCCAAGTTTCCCGATGGCTCTTAGTATTGAATCCTCGATGAACCTCTGATAAACAAAGTCGACACAATTTATGGATAACAACTTCTTTAATACTGTAAAGGCGACGTTTGGGTATAGATCCTTATACCGTTGTCACACAACGTTGTCTGACAACGGTATAAGGATCTATACCCAACGTCGCCTTTACAGTATTAAAGAAGTTGTAATCCATAAATTGTAATGCCTTTCTAACAATTCATCTCCTATTAAGTACTTGAATATCGTCAGTAAGTTGGCATTTCCGGATGTCTGACGTCCTAATAAGACGGGTGTCATGCCATTAAGGTTGAGAAATTAAACTATTTTCGGGAAATAACGTTAATCCTCTCCTATAACACTCATGCCAAACATCAAATTCATGGTCTCAACGAAATGTGATCCCAGTGGTGTATAAAAGATATCGTTGAGTAATTCATTTCTTTAAAGAGTTAAGGTAAGTGTGAAAATGTCAGAATTGTGAACTCAGTACCATTAGCCAGGAACTTATTCACTTATGCTTATAGGTGTCTGGCTGGCGGGGATAGCAAATAAGAGATAATGTCAATTCAGAATCCGTCCATGACTTATATGGCCGTGCAGGGCAGACTGCATTAGATCGAATGTCAATATCCATAGAGCTCTGGTCGTGATTATGACTGTCGTACAGTTCCTTCTGCAAACAACAGATCTTTCTCCATATCCCAAGTGTAACGTCCAATTATTAAAGTCAATTCTCAGTGAAAGCATTTCGTTCATATATCTCTTTAGTATGTCTAAATCCGTCGTTTATCCACACTGCGGCTTACATATCTATGACACTTTCTGAGGTACGATTTCTGTGTATCGTTGTGTATCAGTTTGATAACTATCATTATTGTAGAGAGTTGGGGAGTCGGTTTAACGCTGCAACAGTACATATATCAATTATATCACGGCTTGTCAGCTTGATGTGGGAGGCAAAGCCCGAAGTGATGCGGGTCTCAGACGTTTACCACGAGCACGGTATGGTGCTGACAAACCTAGAAACATAATCACGGCGAACCATGACACGCATTCAACCAAGTCACCGAGTCTGACCACCCGATTCAACAAATCGCCTCTTACAACAAGCACGGGTCACTGGGAACCAATGACCCAGACCCCCCACGTGGTTGTTGCACGTGCCTTGCCACGGTGAGGTGAGGTTAAATGGGGTTTAACGTCACGTCCAAGATTATTGCACTTATATAGCGACGTGCATGTACGTGTTTTTGTGGCTGCTTGTACTAGTCCGGACTGATGCCGATTTATAGTGCTAGCTCACTGAGATACCATGCCGCAGTTTAACATGAATATCCCACTCAGACACAGTATACTGACTCCGAGCCGACCAGTCCTTGTTTTAGACCCTTAATGCCGAGCGCCAGACAGGGTAACAACAAGTACCATATTTTAACGTCTTTTGGTATTACGCGGCCGGGATCAAAGCCCGGACCTTCCGCTCTCAGGGCGGACGCTCTACCACTAGACCACGGAGGCGGTCACCCTTGACACGGAGCTGGACTCATGTCATTTTGCCACCACAGAATATATTGTGCTTCTCGTGAAGCCGGGTTGGACGGGAGTTCATCATGCAGCCTGTGATGTTGTGAGCACTGAATCCATCTTACCGAGGTAAGGGAACTGACTATAAAAGCCCAGGCTGGAGTTATGTAGTTATATTGTGGCTGGACTAACGAGTCTATGCATAGTCCAATCAAAATCGCGTAACGAAATTAACAACCGGTTCGTAAACTACCGTGCAGATTTCTGTTGATTGCAGGATTTGCAAAGCATGTGTACCGCCAACTCGGCGTCAACAGATATTTTTCAAATCTTTTCATGTTTGTAATCCAGGTGCTCACGTGATTTGATGCACTTCGCGAAGTAAGACCTGTTTTATCACAATATAGATCGTCTTGACTGGACGCCGCCATTTTGTTTGAAACAAATGCAAGTGATATGAGAGGTGAAATCTGATTGGGCAATAGGAGGGACATAGAAGGGACATAAATTATAATAGGCATTAGTGGCGCTACGATCTAGCCTAGAAATTTTAGCCTACTTCTACAAGGGTGAAAACTGGACTTTTACAGTCAGTTAAATCCCTTGACTCGGGAAGATGACAGAATCCAGGCCCTGAGGGAATGTCGATGCTTCTTATTGATCGAATTCACGCGCGGCTACACCTTTGGAAAAAAGGATAGGTGCATTATGTTTTTATTGAAAACAATTCACCAAATGAATTAGTTATAATGTTTTTTTTATACGTTTACACTTTAAGTACATTTGACATTTAGTATGCTTCGAAAACGGGTAAGTTTACGACAATTTAAATATTTATTCTGCATGCCTAATAATGCTAGATTTGTCAGTTGAAGTTGAAGTGTAATTAAGAGACAAGTGTGGTGATATTATTGGTGTATTCATTGCAGTTGACCACGGATCGTGGTTTGACTTCACCCGGGGATGGTGGCAGGAACGCCACAACGCCAACGTTCACATCGTCTTTTACGAGGACATGAAAAAGGTGAAGATAGAAAAGAGTAGAGCATTAAATTTAATTTAATCGAGGGCAGAATATTGGGAAGCCATAGTTTAAGGAAATTCAATTAGTTGCACGTGGAATGCGGACAATTAATTTTTTTCTCCTTCAGACAAAGTAAAATTTAATAGCGTTCTCTCACTCAATATTAGAGGTTTCCATTTTAATTAAAACACTGATGATATAGTTTTGTTACAGTGATACGGTAATATATATGTTAAATGTTGCTTGCAGTTCCAATTCCTAAAACAACCAGGATTTTGTTGGGCGAGTGGTTTAGATTCATAGTTTTAGTCAATTCTTGCAGCTAGTTAATGTGACATGTACCCGCCCATATGTTAGCTATATACCAGCGCCGGGCACCATAGAGACGCTGAGAGACCAAGTGTATGTTAGGGAGGGTAAATAGTAACAGCCTACTCACAGAAACAATCTAACGGGATCGGGTGGTCAGCATCAACCAAGTCAGAGAGCCTGACCACCCGATCGCCTTCGTAGCCTTTTACGACAAGCATGGGTTGCTGGATACGAACCGGATCTTCATGGTGCGGGACTACGAGTGGAGTCTGAACAGTTCTGAGCCTAATATATGATGGACTGCGTTTGTGGAGCTAGTTGCTTATCATTTTTCATTATAATCCCCTCCGAGGTCTACACACTTCCGCCACCCATGCTGGAGTGCCTGGATCCCTCTGGCGTGGTATGACATATCGGAAACAGCAAAGAGGACGTTATCATCATTTATCATCCAAAACTGGCTCCCACAGGAGATATCGCTTGGATGAGATCAAGCGATATCTACACTGTAGATATCGCTGCAATGAAATTACATCACAATGCTTTGCAGACCATTGTGACATCACTGGTTACCATGACGTCACAATCAAATGACATCACTAATGGCTCTGCTACTGAAGCTGTTTGCAGTACTTTTTACACTGAAGACACTGCTAATTTCTGTCTACAAATTGAAAAAGTTGAAAGAATGATGTTGGATGATAAATAAAATCTCACCCTCGTGTCTTTTGATATCAAATATATCAACACTCGTTGATAAAAGTGGCAAAAACCCTCGGCAAGCCTCGGATTTTTCCACTTTTATCAACTCGTGTTGATATATTTGATATCAAAAGACACTCGGGTGAGATTCTCTATTTGCACAATGATAGGTAGAAATCTGACGGCGCTAAATCTTGTCAATACGGTTATTGTTCAAGAAGTTCAAAGCCACAATCTGAGGCATTATAGCCCTGACGACAACAGACTTGTGCACAGGTACATGGCCTGGTGGACCAACACACCTTTAGTGAGTTATCCACCACGTTTAGCCTTGATATTCTGACGTGGTTGCCTTCGCAGATTAGCATAATATTGGCCATTAATGACCTGACCTGGCCGGTAGTCCACCAGTAGGATTCGGTTGGAATCCCAGAAACCCGAAGCCACCACCTTTCAAGCTGATGGAAAAGACTGTGCCTTCTTCAGGGCAGGGGACATGAGTTGTTTCAACTGCTTTGACTGTTGTTTAGCCTCTGAACCCAAGACACATCCATGGTTTTAAATCTCTCAACAAGATCTGCTGAGGCTGCTTCAAAACGACGTATAGTCTCACTAAACACGAATAGACCTAGGGCGTTTCTGATCAGGAGTCAGCAGCCTTAGAACCCAGCGTGCTGAAACCTTTGTCATGCCCAGTTCATTGCTCAGAATGTATTAACTCTGGTTTTACGCCGCTTTTAGCAATATTCCAGCAATATCACGGCGGGGAACACCAGAAATGGGCTTCACACATTGTACCAATGTCGGGAATCGAACCCGGGTCTTCGGCGTGACGAGCAAACGCTTTAACCACTAGGCTACCCGACCGCCCCCAACTCTTGAGAGAAGCCTACTGATTGTGGTGAGCCGTCGCTCATCCATAATCATATCATGTTACCAACACTTTCCTTACTGGTGGCAAGTGGTACGTCTTCATGCTCTTGGATCAACTTCGAGGCTCTCTTCCCCTCCTGATCTCCGCTGCCCTCCTCTTAACAGTGACAAAGGAAGCGACATCATCCCATGAAGTTCACACAAAGCTCGCATGGACGGCTGCTGGAGCCCTTCAGTTGGAGAAACTTGATGACAACGCGGTTGTCAATTCATATGTACGCAACAACGACCTCGCGAAAACAGCATATATCAAGTTAAAGATTAAACGTGTTAAAAATATTTTTATCACTGTGAATGAGATAGTGTTGAGATACAGTGTGAGAATGCAAGTGTGTATCGAGCTTGTTTGTTGTTAACGCCGCACTCAGCAATATTCCAGCTATATGACGGCGGTCTGTAAATAATCGATTCCGGACCAGACAATCCAGTGGTTGGCTTCATGAGCATCGATCTACGCTGTTGAGATACGATGACATGCATCACCCAAGCCTGACCAGTCGATCCTGTTAGTCGCCTCTTTCGACAATCACAGAAGCTCCCTGAAGACCTATTCTAACCCGGATCTACACGGGTTTAATCGAGCCTGTGTTAGTGATGGGTATTTCAAGATGTTTGTGCGAACATACATGTCAGTTCTTGTGAGACGGTTCAAATGTGTAGATAGTTGTTCTACTATGTGCATATCAAATAAATACACAATGAGTAGGGGCGGTCATTCACTGTACAATAATATAATTGGTACCGTTTTAGCACGATCCAAATCTATGAAAGGGTATACTATTAATACAATTATATTTTTCATTCATCCACGTAACATTCGCAAATATCCAGTGTAATACGTCTCCATTCTATTCTATTCTAATAGACCGCCTTCGTTGTCTAGTGGTAGAGCGTCCGCCCGGCGAGCGGAAGGTCCGGGGTTTGATCCCCGGCCGCGTCATACCAAAAGACGTTAAAATATGGTACTTGTTGTTACCCTGTCTGGCGCTCGGCATTAAGGGTCTAAAACAAGGACTGGTCGGCTCGGAGTCAGTATACTGTGTCTGAGTGGGATATTCATGTTAAACTGCGGCATGGTATCTCAGTGAGCTAGCACTATAAATCGGCATCAGTCCGGACTAGTACAAGCAGCCACACAAACACACACACACGTACATGCATGTTGCTATATAAGTGCAATAATCTTGGACGCGACGTTGAACCCCATTTCACCTCACATCTATTCTAATATATTTTGTTTTGGAATTTTCATGATATTGTCTGCGTTATTACAGGACCTGGCGGGTGCAATCAAGGAGCTTGCCGTCTTCCTGGGCAAGGGTAACCTGGGGGACGAGCTGATTGACAGAATAGCTCGGCACTGCACCTTCGACAGCATGAAACAGAATCCTATGACGAATCATGAAGACGTCTACTCAATTGACAGCAAAATGTCGCCCTTGCTTCGAAAAGGTGTGTATCCACGTGTTCCACACTAAAATTGCGATGTTGTTGGTTGTTTGTTGTTTAACGCCCCACTCAGCAATATTCAATTTAAATGTTACGGCGGTCTGTAAATAATGGAGTCTTGTCTAGACAATCCAGTGATTGACGTCATCAGCATCTTGGAATTGCGATATACCAACTGCTATAGTCACCGTTTTAAGACCCCGGATGGGCATTCGCTTGCCGTATCAATCATCTATTACAGAACAGATTTGATAACATTGGTGTGTTTTTACCATATTGGTCGTATATTTCACAACAGAACATTATTTTAAGCAATATAAGCAACTAGAGATGAACAGAGATACAAATCAATTCAATGTTATTTCGGTTTTGTCATTGTCAGTGTTCACACAGTAACATTTGATGTCAATGACGGTATGTTTAGGCGGATACATTTGTTAATACAGATTTTCTTTGAGTTAAGGCTTCTATAGTGTACTTCGAACATTTTTTAAGAATATGTGTACAATTACTGCTACTTATTTATAATATTTATCAACATTGTAAATTTGTCCACACACTGCCAAATATGTGTTAGGGATTGCATCATAGGCTTTACACTCAAACGTGAAATGAATTTCGTTTTCTTTTGAACCAAATTCACACACTTTACAGGTCATATTCACACTTTTACCTCTTACGTTACACTTTTACTCTCATATTACACTTTTGCTCTCATGTTACACTTTTACCTCTCATGTTACACTTTTAGTTTCATGTTACACTTTTAGTCTCATGTTACACTTTTAGTCTCATGCTACATTTTTAGTCTCATGTTACACTTTTAGTTTCATGTTACACTTTTAGTTTCATGTTACACTTTTAGTCTCATGTTACACTTTTAGTTTCATGTTACACTTTTAGTCTCATGGTACACTTTTAGTTTCATGTTACACTTTTAGTCTCATGCTACATTTTTAGTCTCTTGTTACACTTTTAGTCTCATGTTACACTTTTAGTCTCATGTTACACTTTTACCTCTCATGTTACACTTTTAGTCTCATGTTACACTTGTACCTCTCATGTTACACTTTTAGTCTCATGTTACACTATTACCTCTCATGTTACACTTTTAGTCTCATGTTACACTTTTAGTTTCATGTTACACTTTGGGTCTCATGTTACACTTTTAGTTTCATGTTACACTTTTAGTTTCATGTTACACTTTTAGTCTCATGTTACACTTTTAGTTTCATGTTACACTTTTAGTCTCATGCTACATTTTTAGTCTCATGTTATACTTTTAGTTTCATGTTACACTTTTAGTCTCATGTTTCACTTTTAGTCTCATGTTACACTTTTAGTTTCATGTTACACTTTTAGTCTCATGTTACACTTTTAGTCTCATGTTTCACTTTTAGTCTCATGTTACACTTTTAGTTTCATGTTACACTTTTAGTCTCATGCTACATTTTTAGTCTCATGTTATACTTTTAGTTTCATGTTACACTTTTAGTCTCATGTTTCCCTTCTAGTCTCATGTTACACTTTTAGTTTCATGTTACACTTTTAGTTTCATGTTACACTTTTAGTTTCATGTTACACTTTTAGTATCATGCTACACTTTTAGTCTCATGTTATACTTTTAGTTTCATGTTACACTTTTAGTCTCATGTTACACTTTTAGTCCCATGCTACATTTTTAGTCTCATGTTACACTTTTAGTTTCATGTTACACTTTTAGTCTCATGTTACACTTTTAGTTTCATGTTACACTTTTAGGTTCATGTTACACTTTTAGTCTCATGTTACACTTTTAGTTTCATGTTACACTTTTAGTCTCATGCTACACTTTTAGTCTCATGTTATACTTTTAGTTTCATGTTACACTTTTAGTCTCATGTTTAACTTTTAGTCTCATGTTACACTTTTAGTTTCATGTTACACTTTTAGTTTCATGTTACACTTTTAGTCTCATGCTACACTTTTAGTCTCATGTTATATTTTTAGTTTCATGTTACACTTTTAGTCTCATGTTACACTTTTAGTCTCATGCTACATTTTTAGTCTCATGTTACACTTTTAGTTTCATGTTACACTTTTAGTCTCATGTTACACTTTTACCTCTCATGTTACACTTTTAGTCTCATGTTACACTTTTACCTCTCATGTTACACTATTACCTCTCATGTTACACTTTTAGTCTAATGTTACACTTTTAGTTTCATGTTACACTTTTAGTTTCATGTTACACTTTGAGTCTCATGTTACACTTTTAGGCTCATGTTACACTTTTAGTCTCATGTTACACTTTTAGTTTCATGTTACACTTTTAGTTTCATGTTACACTTTTAGTCTCATGTTACACTTTTAGTTTCATGTTACACTTTTAGTCTCATGCTACACTTTTAGTCTCATGTTACACTTTTAGTCTCATGTTACACTTTTACCTCTCATGTTACACTTTTAGTCTCATGTTACACTTTTAGTTTCATGTTACACTTTTAGTTTCATGTTACACTTTTAGTCTCATGTTACACTTTTAGTTTCATGTTACACTTTTAGTCTCATGTTACACTTTTACCTCTCATGTTACACTTTTAGTCTCATGTTGCACTTTTACCTCTCATGTTACACTTTTAGTTTCATGTTACACTTTAGTGGGAGCGCATGTAATCTAAGTAAACATATATATTACATACACAGAGATGATTAAAAGGGACATGAAAGTTAAGATATGACTTTCCACTTTACCCCAACATGCATCAAAACGACAAGCTACCCCGATCCAACAGGCTGTCTGTAGGGCCGACAATGTGAGTGCAGGAAAATTTATCCGCAAACTTCGGAGAAACACATATAAATAGAGATTTAGTTGAGCTCATTTTATGGGAGCTCCAGAGCTTCTTAGCAGGAAACGTGTGAAATGTCATCTGTCTGGTCTCCCCCACGCGATGACGTCTTTGCTGTCACCGCTGTCACATTGGACGCATCGCACTGCCACACCACCTCGAACTGGATGTCCTGCATCACAGCCTCTTGTAGACATTGCAGCTTCCTCAACACAGACACAGACGGTGAAAGGAAATCCTATTTTGCGGCTATCACTAATTCTCACTACTACAAAAGTTTTGTTGTACGAGCTCGTATATGTCATCGCTACTGGCCTCTCTGCTTTTTAAGGGGTAATTGATACTGTTGCCTTAATAATAGTAATTGAAAAATATAAATTAATAAATGGGGCCACTTTCTCCAAAATGTGGGACCATTTTCATTATAATTTAGGGCCATGTTCTCCAAATTTGCTGGGGCCATATTTGTCAGGGGTCATTTTCTCATTAACACACAATGTGTTCTCCAGACTGTCTAATGATGCTATTGCTACCAGGTGAATGTAATAGGTTCTTTACGCACCTTTAAGCTGGGAGGTCATGTAACACTTGTATTGGCTATAGCAGTATTCAACAGAACTGTTATCAAACTAACAGGACTCCTGTCACTGTTACAGGCAAGGTGGGCGACTGGAAAGATCACTTCACAGTGTACCAACACGAGGTGTTTGATCAAGAGTTCACCAGCCAGCTTGGTGATCTGAACATACCCTTTGTGTATCAGCTCTGAGCGGGGGTGGGGACGTGAAGGCGTGGCTCAAGGACACACTGGAAGACCCAGAGGAAGAAGTGCCATGGGGGGGATAGACAAGTGATCTGTCATGACACTCTGAAAAGGTCACAAAAAGGGTTTACAAAAAACATCCAGTGATTGTGATTGGAGCAGTTTCACGTGATGAAAGGGTCACAATATAGTGTTTATTGTTTAATGTCGAGTAGACATTTTTTGTACATAGTTTGTAGCTATGTTCACATTGACTGCAGATTTCTTTTTGTAAAATGGTAAATAGGTTATAGACATTACAACTGTTCAAGTGTGAAAGTAGACACAGACTTCTGATGGCAATGAAACTGTACTGGTGTTTAGCATTCTCAATATTTGTTATAGTTAAACACGTAGAAAAGTGAAGTACTGCTAAAATGTTCAGGTCTGTCACACTGTCTTAAACCAGTGCGAGTCCTGATACGTGTGGCTTGGTTGGTATGACTACTAAACAATACAGATACTAAACACTTCTCTGACATTTGGCTCTTTTCAATGAAGGCAATCTTCTCCAGGAGGCTGCATTGCATGTCACTGCACAGAACGTGTAGGCACACCCAGGAGGGGCGGGGTGCAGGGATACGTGCCCCCCTTCTTTTTTCAAACCGAATTCGTCAACCGACCATCTGTTTTTGATCAACATCCCGGTCCTCCTTCTTCTCAGGCCACGGAGGAGCACCCCCCAGTTCAGTGCAACGCATTACACTAGGTGTTGATGAAGTCATGTCGTGTTGGGGTGGATTTCCCTCTGGGTAAGAGTATAGATAACAGGCGCTATAATGTAAGAAACTGTGCCCTACCCTACTCTCCTCACTCCCTTTCATCTTCCCCTCTTACTTCCCCTCGTGCTGCTTCAATCACAGTGAGTGAGTGAGTGAGTATGGTTTTACACCGGTTTTAGCAGTATTCCACAGGGGACACCAGAAATGGGCTTCACACATTGTACCCATGTCGAGAATCAAACCCGGGTCTTCGACGTGACGAGTGAACGCTTTAACCACTAGGCTACCCGACCGCCCTTCAATCACAGATTGCCGGAGAGTGAGTGTGTATGATGTTACTCCCACCTTCCCCTCACACTGTATGCATGGATGAGTGCTGCTTCAATCACAGATTGCTGGAGAGTGAGTGTGTATGATGTTACTCCCACCTTCCCCTCACACTGTACGCATGGATGAGTCCTGCTTCAATCACAGAGTGCTGGAGAGTGAGTGTGTATGATTGTATGCCCACCTTCCCCTCACACTGTATGCATGGATGAGTGCTGCTTCAATCACAGATTGCTGGAGAGTGAGTGTGTATGATGTTACTCCCACCTTCCCCTCACACTGTAAGCATGGATGAGTGCTGCTTCAATCACAGAGTGCTGGAGAGTGAGTGTGTATGATTGTATGCCCACCTTCCCCTCACACTGTACGCATGGATGAGTGCTGCTTCAATCACAGAGTGCTGGAGAGTGAGTGTGTATGATTGTATGCCCACCTTCCCCTCACACTGTACGCATGGATAAGTGCTGCTTCAATCACAGATTGCTGGAGAGTGAGTGTGTATGATTGTATGCCCACCTTCCCCTCACACTGTACGCATGGATAAGTGCTGCTTCAATCACAGATTGCTGGAGAATGAGTGTGTATGATGTTACGCCCACCTTCCCCTCACACTGTACGCATGGTTGAGTGCTGCTTCAATCACAGATTGCTGGAGAATGAGTGTGTATGATGTTACTCCCACCTTCCCCTCACACTGTACGCATGGATGAGTGCTGCTTCAATCACAGAGTGCTGGAGAGTGAGTGAGTATGATGTTACTCCCACCTTCCCCTCACACTGTACACATGGATGAGTGCTGCTTCAATCACAGATTGCTGGAGAATGAGTGTGTATGATTGTATGCCCACCTTCCCCTCACACTGTACGCATGGATGAGTGCTGCTTCAATCACAGATTGCTGGAGAATGAGTGTGTATGATTTTACGCCAACCTTCCCCTCACATTGTACGCATGGATGAGTGCTGCTTCAATCACAGAGTGCTGGAGAGTGAGTGTGTATGATTGTATGCTCACCTTCCCCTCACACTGTACGCATGGATAAGTGCTGCTTCAATAACAGATTGCCGGAGAGTGAGTGTGTATGATGTTACGCCAACCTTCCCCTCACATTGTACGCATGGATGAGTGCTGCTTCAATCACAGAGTGCTGGAGAGTGAGTGTGTATGATTGTATGCCCACCTTCCCCTCACACTGTACGCATGGATAAGTGCTGCTTCAATCACAGATTGCTGGAGAGTGAGTGTGTATGATTGTATGCCCACCTTCCCCTCACACTGTACGCATGGATAAGTGCTGCTTCAATCACAGAGTGCTGGCGAGTGAGTGAGTATGATGTTACTCCCACCTTCCCCTCACACTGTACGCATGGATAAGTGCTGCTTCAATCACAGATTGCTGGAGAGTGAGTGTGTATGATTGTATGCCCACCTTCCCCTTACACTGTACGCATGGATAAGTGCTGCTTCAATCACAGATTGCCGGAGAGTGAGTGAGTATGATGTTACTCCCACCTTCCCCTCACACTGTACGCATGGATGAGTGCTGCTTCAATCACAGATTGCTGGAGAGTGAGTGTGTATGATTTTATTCCCACCTTCCCCCCACACTGTACGCATGGATGAGTGCTGCTTCAATCACAGAGTGCTGGAGAGTGAGTGAGTATGATTGTATGCCCACCTTCCCCCCACACTGTAAGCATGGATGAGTGCTGCTTCAATCACAGAGTGCTGGAGAGTGAGTGTGTATGATTTTATTCCCACCTTCCCCTCACACTGTACGCATGGATAAGTGATGCTTCAATCACAGAGTGCTGGAGAGTGAGTGTGTATGATTTTATTCCCACCTTCCCCTCACACTGTACACATGGATAAGTGATGCTTCAATCACAGAGTGCTGGAGAGTGAGTGTGTATGATTGTATGCCCACCTTCCCCTCACACTGTACGCATGGATAAGTGCTGCTTCAATCACAGATTGCTGGAGAGTGAGTGTGTATGATTGTATGCCCACCTTCCCCTCACACTGTACGCATGGATGAGTGCTGCTTCAATCACAGAGTGCTGGAGAGTGAGTGTGTATGATTTTATTCCCACCTTCCCCTCACACTGTACGCATCGATGAGTGCTGCTTCAATCACAGAGTGCTGGAGAGTGAGTGTGTATGATTGTATGCCCACCTTCCCCTCACACTGTACACATGGATAAGTCCTGCTTCAATCACAGATTGCCGGAGAATGAGTGTGTATGATGTTACGCCAACCTTCCCCTCACATTGTACGCATCGATGAGTGCTGCTTCAATCACAGAGTGCTGGAGAGTGAGTGTGTATGATTGTATGCCCACCTTCCCCTCACACTGTACACATGGATAAGTGCTGCTTCAATCACAGAGTGCTGGAGAGTGAGTGTGTATGATTTTATTCCCACCTTCCCCTCACACTGTACGCATGGATAAGTGCTGCTTCAATCACAGAGTGCTGGAGAGTGAGTGTGTATGATTGTATGCCCACCTTCCCCTCACACTGTACGCATGGATGAGTGCTGCTTCAATCACAGAGTGCTGGAGAGTGAGTGTGTATGATTTTACGCCACTTTTAGCAGTGTTCCAGCAATATAACAGCGAGCGACATCAGAAATGGGCTTCACAGATTGTACCCATGTGTGGAATTGAACCCAGATTTTCGATGTAATGAGTGAACGCTTTAACCACTTGGCTACTAGCCTCCCTTTGCTGAGCTGTACACGAAGTGGTGGATTTCATTTTCAGTGTGATCAATAAACTGCAGGGTTTACTAGAAGACGTAGATCCACACCAGATTATCGCCAGGCTCCCATGACAGAGCCGAGACTCCTGACTGCGGCATGTAACAGGCTGTAACACGCGACTAACGGGATCGGGTGGTCAGGACTCCGCTGAAGCATGTCATTGTATCCCCACTGCATAGATCGATGCTCATGAAGTTAAACATTGGATTTTCTGGTCAAGATTTGATTATTCACAGACTGCCGTCATACAGCTGGAATTTTGCTGAGTGCTGCGTTAAACAACAAACACACAAACAAGCAAACAAACAAAACAGTATTCATTCACCAATTGGCCCAAAATGGATTCTCGCGAATCATTTTCGACTTTTTTTTAATTTGAGGAAACACAGTTATAACAGAAATCAGTCACATGAAGGGAGGAAACAGTTCATACTGCCATATACCTACACAGGTTAATTGTCTGTCAACAAACCTGGACTAGTAGTTTGTTACCTGCACAGGCGGCACAAGCTCTGCCCTGCACAAACATCCAATCACCTAGGTGAGTGTTCACGATCAGATGTAAGCAAAACAAACAAATACTCAAGTAAAAGTTTTACATTTTATTAAAATGATACCATGAACATATTTCCAATCAGACGTTCACCGCTACTGGCTGATATACACAATCACCTGCCACACACTCTGAGGCATGACACTCACAAATACTGCAAAAATACTATCGAGCACTAAGAAATGAAGTCAGCCTATATCAAACAATTGGTACATTTCATGGTTTGAGAAAAGAAGCAATTTACATGGCATGAATAATAAATGGGTGTTTAAACCATGAATGTTCTCGTTCACACTGATGATATGTTACAATGATACGGGAACTGAGATCTCACAATGACTATGTACAACCCTCAAGGAGTATTTCTGGTATTTACTTACAAACATGACATCTAGGATAATTTCATCCATGAAAGCCAGCCATCACAATAAGATCAGAATACAAAACACACATTTAAGATGAAGCTTTCATCTCACGCAATGGCTGTTTAATGCTCTAGCTTAGAATTGAATAATACAAAACTATTTTATTAAACACATTCAAGCGATGCTGACATTGACATTGATCTGTTAGATGACCTAGACTGATAACATGACCACCACACAAGCTGGAGACGCTAAGACTGTCAGTAAACCTGTACCAGACTGAGCCCTAGGAGACAGGAGCAATCTCCATCTTGTAATGGACGCCTTGCTGGATCGGAAATAGAAATAACCTCTGATCCCACAGAAGGTAAAACATCTGACACAATAGACCATTAACAGAAATATTTTACTTCCACCAGATCAGCAACACACAGAGAAAATTACACCACAAATGAAAATCAACTGAAATATCTGATCCCACAATGGATCAGCAACTGAAATATAGCTGACACAACGAAATCAGCAAATGAAATATTGCTGACCCCACAATGGATCAGCAACCGAAATATAGCTGACACAACGAAATCAGCAAATGAAATATAGCTGACACAACGAAATCAGCAAATGAAATATAGCTGACACAACGAAATCAGCAAATGAAATATAGCTGACCCCACAATGGATCAGACACTGAAATATCTGACCCCACAATGGATCAGACACTGAAATATCTGACCCCACTAAGGATCAGCAAATGAAATATAGCTGACACAATGATGAATCAGTAACTGAAATACAGCTGACACAACGAAGGATCAGACACTGAAATATAGCTGACACAACGATGGATCAGCAAATGAAATATAGCTCAGACAATGATGAATCAGTAACTGAAATATAGCTGACACAACGAAGGATCAGACACTGAAATATCTGACCCCACAATGGATCAGACACTGAAATATCTGACCCCCAATGCATCAGCAACTGAAATATCTGACCCCACAATGGATCAGACACTGAAATATCTGACCCCCCAAAGGATCAGCAAATGAAATATAGCTGACACAACGAAGGATCAGACACTGAAATATCTGACCCCACAATGGATCAGACACTGAAATATCTGACCCCCAATGCATCAGCAACTGAAATATAGCTGACACAACAATGGATCAGACACTGAAATATCTGACCCCCCAAAGGATCAGCAAATGAAATATAGCTGACACAACGATGAATTAGTTACTGAAATATAACACAACAAAGGATCAGCAAATGAAATACAGCTGACACAACGATGAATAAGTTACTGAAATATAACACAACAAAGGATCAGCAAATGAAATACAGCTGAGACAACGATAAATCAGTAACTGAAATATAGCTGACACATCGCAAGGATCAGCAAATGAAACACAGCTGAGACAACGATAAATCAGTAACTGAAATATAGCTGACACAACGATGGATTGGTTATTGAAATATAGCTTACCAGATGGTTAAGCAACTGAAATAAAACTGAGACCAGGATGGATTCATAACTGAAATATAGCTGACCAAATGGTTAAGCAACTGTAAAATCTGACTCTTGTGGAACAAAAAAAACCAGTCACAAGTTAGCCCCCAAAGGATCAGCCACTCAATATATAATCCCACAATGGATCAGCAAATAAAACGAAAAAACACATGAATCACCAACTAAAGTATCGGAAACCACAATTGGCAAGCAACTGAAATATCTGACCTCCGTGAACCAGCAACAGAAATACAGGACCTCTGTGGACCAGCAACTGATAAATCTCACCTCAGTGGACCAGCAACTGAAATATCTGACCACTGTGGTCCAGCAACTGAAATATCTGACCTCCGTGGTCCAGCAACTGAATATCTGACCCTGATAACACCTCATAACACCTGATAACATGTTGGACATGACACCTCTGTTTGTGTCTCTGCCTCATCTATGTTGGACATGACACCTCTGTTTGTGTCTCTGCCTCATCTATGTTGGACATGACACCTCTGTTTGTGTCTCTGTCTCAGCTATGTTGGACATGACACCTCTGTTTGTGCCTCTGCCTCATCTATGTTGGACATGACACCTCTGCTTGTGTCTCTGCTTCAGGCCCCTTCTTGTCCGGCGTGATGTCTCGGCCCTGGCGGAACAGCTGGACACTCAGCTTGGATAGATCGGTGTCCATCACATGGCTGGGGTACACTGGACTCTGGTCAAACACCTGCTTCAACAAAATCATACTATCAGATGGTATACAGGGTATGAAAACAAATTAAATTTGCGGGAAAACTCAAAATGTTTTCCACCATGTTGCTGAATAGTTTGGTACTGTGTTCAGCTGAATAGTTTGGTACTGTGTTCACTGGAAAATATTTCGTGACAGATCAAGGCACCTTGCATTTACAGAGTAACAACATTACAACTGGTTCATTTACAAGCAGTCTTTGACAAATTATCAAGAAGCTGCTGTGTAACAATTCCCACCTTATCAACTTTACAAAGTCTCCTCCGGATCTCCAGGTCTTTGCGTGCACATAGTGCTCTGCGATGGGAGCCAATGTTCTTCAGGAGACTGGCTCGCTCCCGGAGTTTACGCAGAGCCGCACAATGGAAGGCTGCTACTGAGTCATGTAGAACAAACTTCTGGGATGTTTTCTCCTTGTTACCATCGGCTGAAACATCAATACTTTCTGTACTACAGTGGTAGACTGCAATCAGACCAGTCGGAAAAGTAAGGGTTATCAAATATTTGCTTCTTTGTTGTTTAAGGTCGCACTCAGCAATATTCCAGCTATATGATAGTAGCCTGTGAAAATTCTGGAGACCAGACAATCCATTGATTGAAATTTTGAGCAACGATCGGTTGCCATCTGAGTACTATGAGTGAGTGAGTGAGTGAGTGAGTGAGTGAGTGAGTGAGTATGTTTTACGCCGCTTTTAGCAATATTCCAGCAATATCACGGCGGGGGACACCAGAAATGGGCTTCACACATTGTACCCATGTCGGGAATCAAACCCGGGTTTCGGCGTTCTGAGTACTATGACACTCAATCAACCAAGTAATTGAGCCTGACCACCTGGTCTATGACAGTTATGACTAGCATAGGTTGCTGGGGACTTATTCTAACTGTGAATCCCAACTGGAAGTCATGACAGTTTGAAATGTTCAAAACAAAGCCAGACACTTACAAAAAAGTTACTGACAGCATTGATATTACGAAGAAATACAGTGTTAATACTGAGGATTTAAAACTAAGGCTAACATTTTATTTTAATAAAATATGATGTCCTCAAAAGAAGACGCACAGATGCCGAAGTTCAGCTCTGTCATACTAGCAATTTCATAGGAGAAGAAGTACTGGGATCACCATGAGGGTGACCCAGAGAGTAGTGGGATCACTATGAGGGTGACCCAGAGAGTACTGGGATCACTATGAGGGTGACCCGGGGAGTACTGGGATCACTTTGAGGGTGACCCATGGTGTACTGGGATCACTATGAGGGTGACCCGGGGTGTACTGGGATCACTATGAGGGTAACCCGGGGAGTACTGGGATCACTATGGGGGTGACCCGGGGAGTACTGGGATCACTATGAGGGTGACCCATGGTGTACTGGGATCACTATGAGGGTGACCCATGGTGTACTGGGATCACTATGAGGGTGACCCAGGGTGTAGTGGGGTCACTATGAGGGTGATCCCGGGAGTACTGGGATCACTATGAGGGTGACCAAGGGTGTACTGGGATCACTATGAGGGTGACCCATGGTGTACTGGGATCACTATGAGGGTGACCCGGGGAGTACTGGGATCACTATGAGGGTGACCCAGGGTGTACTCGGGTCACTATGAGGGTGACCCGGGGTGTACTGGGATCACTATGAGGGTGACCCATGGTGTACTCGGGTCACTATGAGGGTGACCCGGGGAGTACTTGGATCACTATGAGGGTGACCCGGGGTGTACTGGGATCACTATGAGGGTGACCCGGGGTGTACTTGGATCACTATGAGGGTGACCCGGGGTGTACTGGGATCACTATTGGGGTGACCCGGGGTGTACTGGGATCACTATGGGGGTGACCCAGGGTGTACTGGGATCACTATGGGGGTGACCCAGGGTGTACTGGGATCACTATGGGGGTGACCCGGGGTGTACTGGGATCACTATGAGGGTGACCCGGGGTGTACTGGGATTACTATGGGGGTGACCCAGGGTGTACTGGGATCACTATGAGGGTGACCCGGGGTGTACTGGGATCACTATGGGGGTGACCCGGGATGTACTGAGATCACTATGGGGGTGACCCGGGGTGTACTGGGATCACTATGGGGGTGACCCAGGGTGTACTGGGATCACTATGGGGGTGACCCGGGTTGTACTGGGATCACTATGGGGGTGACCCAGGGTGTACTGGGATCACTATGGGGGTGACCCATGGTGTACTGGGATCACTATGAGGGTAACCCGGGGTGTACTGGGATCACTATGAGGGTGTCCAAGGGTGTAGTGGGGTCACTATGAGGGTGACCCGGGGAGTACTGGGGTCACTATGAGGGTGACCAAGGGTGTAGTGTGGTCACTCTGAGGGTAACCCGGAGAGTACTGGGATCACTATGAGGGTGACCCGGGGAGTACTGGGGTCACTATGAGAGTGACCAAGAGTGTAGTGGGGTCACTATGAGGGTGACCAAGGGTGTACTGGGATCACCATGAGGGTGACCCATGGTGTACTGGGATCACTATGAGGGTGACCCGGGGAGTACTGGGATCACTATGAGGGTGACCCAGGGTGTACTCGGGTCACTATGAGGGTGACCCGGGGTGTACTGGGATCACTATGAGGGTGACCCATGGTGTACTCGGGTCACTATGAGGGTGACCCGGGGAGTACTTGGATCACTATGAGGGTGACCCGGGGTGTACTGGGATCACTATGAGGGTGACCCGGGGTGTACTTGGATCACTATGAGGGTGACCCGGGGTGTACTGGGATCACTATTGGGGTGACCCGGGGTGTACTGGGATCACTATGGGGGTGACCCAGGGTGTAGTGGGATCACTATGGGGGTGACCCAGGGTGTACTGGGATCACTATGAGGGTGACCCGGGGTGTACTGGGATTACTATGGGGGTGACCCAGGGTGTACTGGGATCACTATGAGGGTGACCCGGGGTGTACTGGGATCACTATGGGGGTGACCCGGGATGTACTGGGATCACTATGGGGGTGACCCGGGGTGTACTGGGATCACTATGGGGGTGACCCAGGGTGTACTGGGATCACTATGGGGGTGACCCGGGTTGTACTGGGACCACTATGGGGGTGACCCAGGGTGTACTGGGATCACTATGAGGGTGACCCGGGGTGTACTGGGATCACTATGGGGGTGACCCATGGTGTACTGGGATCACTATGAGGGTAACCCGGGGTGTACTGGGATCACTATGAGGGTGTCCAAGGGTGTAGTGGGGTCACTATGAGGGTGACCCGGGGAGTACTGGGGTCACTATGAGGGTGACCAAGGGTGTAGTGTGGTCACTCTGAGGGTAACCCGGAGAGTACTGGGATCACTATGAGGGTGACCCGGGGTGTACTGGGATCACTATGGGGGTGACCCGGGATGTACTGGGATCACTATGGGGGTGACCCGGGTTGTACTGGGACCACTATGGGGGTGACCCAGGGTGTACTGGGATCACTATGAGGGTGACCCGGGGTGTACTGGGATCACTATGGGGGTGACCCATGGTGTACTGGGATCACTATGAGGGTAACCCGGGGTGTACTGGGATCACTATGAGGGTGTCCAAGGGTGTAGTGGGGTCACTATGAGGGTGACCCGGGGAGTACTGGGGTCACTATGAGGGTGACCAAGGGTGTAGTGTGGTCACTCTGAGGGTAACCCGGAGAGTACTGGGATCACTATGAGGGTGACCCGGGGTGTACTGGGATCACTATGGGGGTGACCCGGGATGTACTGGGATCACTATGGGGGTGACCCAGGGTGTACTGGGATCACTATGGGGGTGACCCAGGGTGTACTGGGATCACTATGGGGGTGACCCGGGTTGTACTGGGATCACTATGGGGGTGACCCAGGGTGTACTGGGATCACTATGAGGGTGACCCATGGTGTACTGGGATCACTATGGGGGTGACCCATGGTGTACTGGGATCACTATGAGGGTAACCCGGGGTGTAGTGGGGTCACTATGAGGGTGACCCGGGGAGTACTGGGGTCACTATGAGGGTGACCCGGGGAGTACTGGGGTCACTATGAGGGTGACCAAGGGTGTAGTGTGGTCACTCTGAGGGTAACCCGGAGAGTACTGGGATCACTATGAGGGTGACCCGGGGAGTACTGGGGTCACTATGAGAGTGACCAAGAGTGTAGTGGGGTCACTATGAGGGTGACCAAGGGTTATTGGGATCACTATGAGGGTGAACCAGGTACGTCATGAAGCCAAATCAATCCTCAAAATCTTCTCAGGCCCAAATTACCTCCATCATTTTCTGTCTTCTCTGACTCGTCCAGCTGTTTCTGACACACAGTCTTGATCTTCTCAAACAGTTCATCCCCAGCATAGGCCCGTGAGACCCCAATCTGGCTGAATATACTGGCAGGGCTGAACCGCTGGAGAGCAGAACCCTTGGGTTTGGGCTTGGCTGCATCCTTGAGGCTGGACCAGTCGATGTCCAGGATGTTTACAATACCTGCAACAGGACACAAGAATCATTGCGGGCATGGAGTGAGTGAGTGAGTGAGTTTGGTTTTAAAGCCGCTTTTAACAGTATTCCAGTTATATCGCGGCGAGTCAGCTTAATGTGGGAGGAAAGCCCGAAGTGATGCAGGTCTCAGACGTTAACCACTTCGGTGAAACCCACGAGCACGGGTATGGTGCTGACAAACCTAGAAACATAATCGGGGCAAACCGGGATTCGAACCCACAATCATAGGTTTCTGGCGTGCCCAAGGGACAAAACTCTGCACAGCGAATCGCGGCGCCTTAGATGACTGGGCCACTCGTGCCCCCATGCGGGGAGAACTGGTTTCTTTGTTTAAAGCCACACTCAGCAATATTCCAACTACATGACAGTGTAAACTAAAATGAGCCATCCAATCAAATAACTCTCCTGATGAGTCCGGGGTATATTTCATGACAGAAAAGGGATATAATACTCTTGATAATGGAGGCTGCCTGATAACTGACTGGGCCTGGACCAGACAAGCCAGTGGTCGTGAATGTGAGAAACATCTGGGCCCACTTGCACAAAGCGATCTTAGCGCTACAACTATTGTAAGCCTATGTTAAAGTATGGGAGTTATGATCATCTTAACGCTAAGATCGCTTTGTGCAAGTGGGCCCTGGATTGACAACTGCTGTTTGCAATGTTGCATGTTGCCGGACACAACTAATTGTACTGTTTCTGGTGGATTTAGGATGACATTATTATATGTTGCGGGTCAGTTTCATTTCGACTTCAGTCTCATTATAATCCGATTTTAGTTCTCGCTATCGCTAAGCAAAGATCTGAGGACATCCCATTAAGGGTCATGTCAGAACGACCTTTCATCCGACAATCAGAGCGTCGCTTACCAGATCATGAAAGTGACAGACGGAATGTGTTTTCTAATCATGCAATTTCGAAATATTTAACAAAGGGTATTCCGAACGACAGTTACGAGTTTTATGATTATATCAATACAATCTAGGCCATCTATAAGCCATTCCATATTGTTCTTATCAGTTTTAATTTTTTTAATCGAGAATATGTCAAAATATGTTTCGAAGCGTAGTCGCCAGTTTGAAACTAGTGTCGTAAAGCTCGAGAAAGCTGCCTTCTGATTGGCTAATGTTGATTTCTTGTCAGTCATTTCATTGGTCGGTCAAAAGTTGCAAAAGGTCGTTCTGACGTGACCCGTAATGGGATGTCCTCAGATCTTTGTTTAGCGGTAGCGAAAACTAAGATCTGATTTTAATGAGATTGATTTCGACTTGTGATAAACGTAACGCTAAGACAAGAACTCCGACTGAGAAAACTTACTTGATTGTACTTCACCGTCATCTTCCATGAAGCCATCTTCATCTGAAGAGATCTGCTCATACTCGGGCAGGGCATCCATCTCATCCTCAAACTGCCTGTCCTTGTCCTGCCCGACGCCCGGTCCACCCTCCTCTCCCTCGCAGGACACCATGCTGCCGGACTCCCCATGCACTCTAGAGGGAATACACCTTGCATCAGTACGGCTCCATCAACACAAGAAAACAGCTTCATCCATACCCTGCCTTGCTTGCATACATGTAATTGTGAACAAGTAATTGTTATTTCTGTGAAAACGATTGGCACCTGTCTTAAACAGCTCAATACATTTACATGTGTCATGGAGAAAGAATGAAATGTTTCTCACCAGAAAATATAATGATCCTCAGTTGCCTTGGAATAGCATAAGATTAAATTTTCACCCAAAATGTCATCTGTACTGGTTTCTGATAAACAAGGGCCATAACTCTGTTAAATATTTTTTTGTAAAATGTTTTTTGAACTCAAGCCGTTAGGTGATTTTTTATCTCAAATTTCAAATTTGTACTGACCAAGTTTCTTATCACCCGTTAATTTGCCGGAATTCGCTGAAGGGTAAATATTTTCTGCACATAATATTCAAAAAAAAAATCTCCAAAATGATCCATGCACTAGAGGGGGAGCGCATTATACTCAAGAAAATACAGTAAATAAATGGCAACAGACTGTTTCTTCCTTGTTAACTGGAGTTCCTCACCAGAATTAACAGGGAAGCCAAACCAATCCCAGACAGGTGATTTGTAGGATGCAGCTCAAGTATCATGGTGACTAAGAGTTTCAGAGTAACGTTTCACCCTTATAAATCATGATACCCAGTGTGTGATAAAACAGATTGTTGGTTTTCTAAGTCATCATTAATTGATATGCACAATAGCATCTCAATGACCTAAAAAAGATACATATTGCCTTCAACATTTTTGAAAGCAATAGCATATTGTTGTCATGAGAAAGTTGTGTTGCACAAGTGAAAAAAAACAAGGCCAGTCCAACTCTGAACTCCCAAACAGTGCATGCAGCAAGTGTATTTTTTCAATCATTATTTGTTTAAAAACAAAGATATTTATAATTTTAAAGTATTTTAAAGTCTAAAAGTTATAAACACTTTTGCTTAATTTTAATTATGAGATTTCATGGTGAGGTGAAAGGGGGTTTAACATCGCGTTGAAAATAATTGCATTTATATAGCGATGTGCATGCATGTGTGTCTGCTTGTAGCAGTCTGGACTAATGCCAATTTTATAGTGCTAGCCCACTGAGATACCATGCCACAGTTTAACATGAATACCACACTCAGACACAGTATACTGACTCCGAGCTGACCAGTCCTTGTTTTAGCCCCTTAATGGCGCCAGACAGGGCAACAACAAGAGCCATCTTTTGACATCTTTTGGTATGACGCGGCCGGGGATCGAACCCCGGACCTTCCTCTCTACCAGTAGACTACAGTGACACAGATTAGAGATGCTATTTGATCATGACATCATGGTAACAAATGGTCTGCAAAGCTATGTGTCGGAATTTCATAGCAGCAATTTCTCCTCGGAGACATCGTTAGATCTCAGCCACCTGATACTCCGGGGGCAGCCAGATTTGGAGGATAAGGTAAAGTAGGAATTTTGCAGGATAACTAACAAGTATACCATGCACAGTGAAGGTTCATACAGATACGGAACACTAAAAGTCAAGGCCTATTCCAACCTTTCCAAGGCTTTCAACTGTCGTTTTTCAAGTTTTATTTTAGTTGGGTTATTAGCCTCAGCCTTTTAATATCTTAAACCCAGCATACTATATATTACATAATTAGTTGTAAGACCTAAAGAGCAGTATGAACATCTCAAATTTTCCAACAAGACTTATTTCACAACCCAAAAATAAATAAATAAAGTCTGTCATGAATTTTTCATGGTCTTTGGCACACAAATCACACTTAAACATCCTTGTCATTTTGTACAAGTTGTTCAAGCTATCTTGGTGATTTTCAAGTCATTTTATGGTTGGCACTTGATATTAGGCTTTTCAAGAGGCAAGGCCTGATGTCTGCATGAACTTGAGAATAACTTCCTTTTTTCTGTACTTGGGGGTGAGTGAGTGAGTTGGGATAAACGCTGATTTTAACAGTATTCCAGTTATATCACGGCGTGTCAGCTTAAAGTGGGAGGAAAGCCCGAAGTGATGCAGGTCTCAGACGTTAACCACTTCGGTTATGGGTATGGTGTTGACAAACCAAGAAACATAATCGGGGCGAACTGGGATTCGAACCCACAATTAATGTTTCTGGCGTGTCCAAGGGATGCAACTCTGCACAGCGAATCGCGGCGCCTTAGACGACTCGGCCACCCGTCCCCCCTTCTGTACTTGGACAGTTACTTTAATAACAAACACTTCAGAAAGACCTATCAGGGTTAATAACTCGCAACAGCTACCTTTCTTTGATGACTTCCAACATGTGATCCTGGCTGACATGTATCTTCCTGTCAAGGGCACTTCCCCGACTGCCAAGACTGCTTCGACTGGGACTTCTCTGGCGGCGCTCCTCCCTCTCGATCTGGACACAAGATGTCACCCTTTGTCAACTTTAACCACACACAATTCTTAAAAGTGATTTTACCAAGAATTTGGAAACTACTTAATTCTGATTGGTCAATCAGGATTCAAATCACAATAACCGCCTCTGGTCAAAACAGTTTATCTGAAAACAGCATCATTGCAAAAGACAGTATTTATAGAAACTTCCTTCTTTCTCGTTCACTGAACAGTGAATTGTCAGTGATTGATGAATCTACCAAATTGTACAATTGTACCCAATTCGTAATAGTTGTGATGAAAAAGCAAAATAATTCGTCCAAAGACCTACTTTCTTCTACAAACATTTATAGTTTGTTTGTTTGTTTGTTGTTTAACACCGCACTCAGCCAAATTCCAGCTATATGACAGCGGTCTGTAAATAATCAAGTCTGGACCAGACAATACAGTGATTGACATCATGAGCACCGGTCCACGCAATTGGGAGGCGATGATAAGCATTAACCAAGTCAGCGAGCCTGACCACCCGATCCCTTTAGTCGCCTCTTATGACAAGCATAGTCGCCTTTTACGGCAAGCATGGGTTGCTGAAGACCTATTCTACCCCCGATCTTTATAGGACACAAACAAATATTTTCTGCATGAAGTGATACATATTCATAATTGTAGTTTATCACATGAAAAACATTTCCACACTACAAAACATTTTTGCACATGTATCCAAGAACTTTTCCCCAAAAGTGTCATTGCAGTAGCAAGAGTTAAAATTCAACAGACACTGCCTTTTAGAAAGTGGTCAAATATATTTGGAAGTACACTTTCTTAGCAAAGAACAATTGCTAGTACTTTTTGTGGTGGAGTCAGAATAAGGTACATTAAGCACACAAAGTAAGCGACCAAACCCACTTAGCCACAGCTGACGATTAGCTGCCTTAGTCTGAGAGTGTGGGTTAGAATTCTGGATGGGACTCCACTCCAAAAAGTACTAGATTTTGTACTTTTTGAAGAAAGTGCAGGGTTCACTCTTGGAATTTTCTGACATGGACCCTTTATGTGAAAATTTCAAATATTCCAGAGGTACGCCTTACAGCACAATGTTAAAATGCCCCATTGTCTTTGGAAATGTGGGCCTTTTTTCAAACTTAGGGGCTAAAAGCACAAGGCCCCACCCTAGAATTATCCCTGAAAGTGTAAACCCTAATATAACACGTAACAAGAGTTACATGACTAAGAACTTGTAATCAACATAAATTGTCTACAGTGCACATAGAAACACCTACAAATGGTTTCTAGGCAACAATTTAGACATGAAGCTGGATCTTACCACATGCTTCTAACCACCAATACATTAGAAGTAGGAGGAATGTACAGGTCAAGGTTATCTACAAAGGACTTGAATGGACTGATTTGCCAAAAACGATAATCAAATGGTTAACAATATTATTTCCAAATTCAACTGAATAACACAAAGTTGGAAAAAGAAGTTGCTCATTGATGATTTCACATGGGGGAAGCTCATTAATGATTTCACAAGGGGACAGCTCATTCATGACTTCACAAGGGGGCAGCTCATTCATGATTTCACAAGGGGACAGCTCATTAATGATTTAACAAGGGAACAGCTCATTAATGATTTAACAAGGGGACAGCTCATTAATGATTTCACAAGGGAACAGCTCATTCATGATTTAACAAGGGGATAGCTCATTAATGATTTCACGACGGGACAGCTCATTAATGATTTCACAAGGGGACAGCTCATTAAAGATTTAACAAGGGAACAGCTCATTAATGATTTCACAAGGGGACAGCTCATTAATGATTTCACAAGGGGGCAGCTCATTCATGATTTCACATGGGAGCAGCTCATTCATGATTTCAAAAGAGGAACAGCTCATTAATGATTTCACAAGGGGACAGCTCATTCATGATTTCACAAGGGGACAGCTCATTCATGATTTCACAAGGGGGCAGCTCATTAATGATTTCACAAGGGGGCAGCTCATTAATGATTTCACAAGGGAACAGCTCATTAATGATTTCACAAGGGACAGCTCATTCATGATTTCACAAGGGAACAGCTCATTAATGATTTCACAAGGGGAGAGCTCATTCATGATTTCACAAGGGAACAGCTCATTAATGATTTCACAAGGGGAGAGCTCATTAATGATTTCTGAAGGGGACAGCTCATTGATGATTTCACAAGGGAACAGCTCATTAATGATTTCACAAGGGGACAGCTCATTAATGATTTCACAAGGGAACAGCTCATTAATGATTTCACAAGTGGGCAGCTCATTCATGATTTCACATGGGGGCAGGTCATTCATGATTTCACAAGGGAACAGCTCATTAATGATTTCACAAGGGGACAGCTCATTCATGATTTCACAAGGGGGCAGCTCATTAATGATTTCACAAGGGGGCAGCTCATTCATGATTTCACAAGGGAACAGCTCAACAATGATTTCACAAGGGGACAGCTCATTCATGATTTCACAAGGGAACAGCTCATTAATGATTTCGCAAGGGGACAGCTCATTAATGATTTCTGAAGGGGACAGCTCATTGATGATTTCACAAGGGGGCAGCTCATTTATGATTTCACAAGGGAACAGCTCATTAATGATTTCACGAGGGGATAGCTCATTAATGATTTCACAAGGGAACAGCTCATTAATGATTTCGCAAGGGGACAGCTCATTAATGATTTCTGAAGGGGACAGCTCATTGATGATTTCACAAGGGGGCAGCTCATTTATGATTTCACAAGGGAACAGCTCATTAATGATTTCACGAGGGGATAGCTCATTAATGATTTCACAAGGGGGCACCTCATTAATGATTTCACAAGGGGACAGCTCATTCATGATTTCTCAAGGGGACAGCTCATTGATGATTTCACAAGGGGGCAGCTCATTTATGAGAAAAATCTTGCCAAAAGCATGAGTTTAGGAAAATATTTCAAGGTTAGTGACGAGGTGCGTTCACTAAAATCTGCAACTCATTCCAAGTTCAGGCTTGTCAACACAAAAGGTAGCCTCACATGTACATGTATCCATCACTTCACACTCCAACATACATCATAAGGACTACAGGCTAAAGTATCTCATGCAGAAGAACAGAAAACTCATGCAGCCCCAACTGATCGGCCAAGTGCCACCGGCCGTGTCTACATGAGCCATACCTCTACCTCAGCCTGGTTCAGGATGTTGTCCGCCATGTCGTCCTCCGACCAGTCGCTGAACTGCACCGACCGGATACTCGCATGGTCCGACGCTGTGGAAGGAGAGAGTTTGCTGGCTATTAAGTTTGTTTGTTTGTTGTTTAACGCCGCACTCATGTGAATGGCAAAAGTGTCCAACTAACAAAGCCCTGAAATAATACAAACGTACGGCTTACTGTTAGAACACTGATAGAACAATCCTTAGATTCCCTGTTATTTTAGTTCCATGCTGTTTCTAATGAGTCAGTGTCGATTTATCTAACTTATCAAGAATAATATGAACCAGCCCATTGTTTTTTTGTGAACAGCAATATTCCAGCTATATGACAGCGGTCTGTAAATAATCGAGACTGAACCAGACAATCCAGTGATTGACATCATGAGCATCGATCCACGCAATTGGGATACGATGACATGCATCAACCAAGTCAGCGAGCCTGACTACCCGATCCCGTAAGTAGCCTCTAACGGCAAGCATGGGTTGCTGAAGACCTATTCTACCCTGGATCTTCTTTAGTTTGAAAAGGTGGGTCAGGATATAAACATTATGTGTTTTCAAATATTAGGAACCAACAGCACCTATCAACATTCTGATGCACCCTTTCTCAATGTGAGCTGTCACAGTAGTATTGCCTTGGAGTGCCAAGTTATGACACAAGGAGGGTTAATATTCTCTTTACATCAACACAGAGATAACCTTATTATTCCTTGTTATCATCTGGTCTCCATCTTCTTGAATATCTGAACATCTGAACTTGAATAATATCTGTTATACGTTGTTACACAAATACCAGTTTGCACATGTTTGAACCAGTCTAATCAGACCAGAACTGGCTATTAAAGAAACTGTGATGGGCCTACTTAACAGCAAATGATGTGAGGTTACTGTCAAGGATGGTGTCCCAAGCTTTGTCATACCTTTCTGCTTAGAAAATAACAACAAATTATATTTTGACTTCACAGAACAGACATTGTACTATCAGAAGACAAGACAATTGTTTCAACTCGCTGTCTCTCATTCACCCAACGCGTTATGGCAATACTTCTTACCTCTGTCATCATCTGCAAGGGAAGACTTCCCTCCAAGGGAGACAATTGCAGAAATGTTGTCTTCATCATACAAGTTGTCATCAGCTGTTGATCACAATGCACATAAATGTTAAATTCAACTTTGGGATGTAGCCAGGACGAGACAACCAGTGGTTGTTATTTTAAATGGGTCTTGGACAATCTTTGGGCACCATGGCCTTCCCCCTTCCAATGGAGACAATGGAAGAGAAAACAGTTGATCCCCCAAAATCCTGATAACCTTGCTGTTCTGGTATAATCAGTTTGACAAGGACATTCATTGTAACACAGTTTGGTCATCGCTAATGACAGTTGATGTTAGTTAAACATCTTACATTTACAGGTGTTTTTTATCACAAATTACATTTTCAACATATTTTATTTAAATTCCATTTACTTTTCAAATATTAACCTAAGTGACTGTCCCATTCTGCCCCAGCAAGAGTCCATATGCACCTGGACTTTGGGAGTACTGGACTAAAAATGAGTGAGTGAGTATGGTTTTAAAATACTATTTGCAATATTCCAGCAACATCACGCAGGGGACACCAGAAATGGACTTCACTTATTGCACTCTTGTGAGAATTGAACCCAAGAATTCAGCGTGACAAGCAAATGCTTTAACCACTAGGCTACCCCACTGCCCGGATCAAAAGAATTCTTTTTGATTGAGACTATCTCAGATTGGTTGTTGCAGTAGATTTTGTTTAAACATTTGTTATTCAAAGTGTCAATGATTTAATCTGTTGTTCATTCGATAACAACTGTATTAGAAGATATGGATCACAACACATATTTTGACCCAATGTGCCCCGGGCTCCCCTGTGTGTTACAAATGCACACATTACATACATTGATGTCTTGCGGATAATCAAATTTGACATGGTTATTTATGGTTTGGTCATCTTGTGACACAAGTATGTGTTATAATGGACCTGTTCTGCACTGTTAATATTAATTGATAAGGCTCTCAAATTGTCTGGGCAATCCCCGACCTGAGAAGTGACCGAGTCAGCACTTACCTTTCCGAGGAGCAGCAGGAGGTGGCTGTGGCTTCTTCTCCTCAGCCTCGGGAGGCGCTACTCCTTCTTTAGATTTGGAACTCGACCCCGACAACGACCTCCTTCTGGCCTTCCCCTTGTCTGCTTTGTCTTCATTCTTCTCCTTGCTAGGTTTGGGCTAGAACAGAATATCAGGATGTGCGAGTGAGAGGTACGTCTCTTTCAGCCATTAACACAACATGTCAACTTGATGTGGAAGTGAAGCAATGAGCAAGGTATGGATCATTATTGGGTTGAATCAGTGGATCCTAGCATGTCTAACATGTCTAAGGGAAACAACTCAACAGAATGAAATTGTGGCTTTTTAGACCATTAGGTCTTCTGTGGCCCCTCTTAAAGTAATGTCTGAGAAGCCAAGTTCTCCATACTAAGCAAATAGTTAGTCTAAACATTCGGCACTCTAAGCAAGAATTTACCAAATTATTGTTTGTAACAGTCAACAAGCAGATGTTGAATTTGAACAAACATAAACCTCAGAAATAAAATCCTAAACTCATATGTACCAGTCATATAGAAAAACTCACACTAATGCTACGACTTTTTTCGGACTTGCTTGGAGCATCAATAGATGTAGTGTCCTTTTTCCGTGACTTTTTGTCCCGGTCAACACTTCCCTTCCTGCCAGACTTGTCCTCCCTGTCAGATCCACTGTCACCACGGCGACGGGAACGCTGTTGATCTCGGTCCGGAAGACGCCTGCTGTTGTGACTGCCTCGGCTGCGAGATGAACTAGCTGGAGAGACCTCACGCAGACGCTTGGGGATAGGAGATAGTGGCAGTTCCTCCTTGTCAGGGCCTCGTTTCCTTCAGGAAAATTAATTGTGTATAATCTGCCACATGTGAGGACATTGAAGGATGATGGCTAATAACATACACTAAATGCATCTACTGATCTAAAGGCAAATGTATTTCAGTTAACTCATGGTCCAAATAAAGCATTACCGGTATCTTAGGACACTGGCTCATATATGTAACCCATTTATGGAACAGACCCGTGAAGATCCGGGGTAGAATAGGTCTTCAGCAACTCATGCTTGCCGTCAAAGGCGACTATGCTTGTCGTAAGAGGCGACTAACGGGATTGGGTGGTCAGGCTCGCGGACTTAGTTGATGCATGTCATCATATCCAATTTGTGTGGATTGATGCTCATGACGTCAATTGCTGGATTGTCCGGTTAAGACTTGATTATTTACAGACTGCCGTCATATAGCTGGAATATTGCTGAGTGTGGTGTTAAACAACAATTCTACCATTAATTTGGAATTTACTCGATTCTGATTGGTCAATCAGAGACTATTTAATCACAATAAACCTGATTGAAACTCTGATTGAAACAGCTGGTTTGACAGCCGCATCACCGCGGAAGCTAATATTCATAGAATAGGACTATTTTCCGTCATTGTTGGTAGGCATATTTAAATAATTATATCTACAATTACAGGTTACTAAATGCACAGATACGGTTACTACAATATTCAAAGGATGTGTGGCAATACATTTCATGCAGGAAACACGACAGAAATCAACAAAGGGAATGTATTTACGTTTTGGAGACAACACAGAGCTTGGAATTTTGGCGCTTTTCTATTTTAGACTGTGATGTAATATCTTTTGCGTCACAATGAGCGATATGACGTCTTAATGGTGAATTGTGATGTAGAGCAAAAGCCTTGCAAAGCTTGCTTTGTTTACTTTAGGGATGCCCACCTCATGTTAGCTTACCAAGTTGCCGTGCTTATATGCGTTCAATGCCTGTCATATGTTCGAGTGAAGTATTACGGTGTAAACAAACTGCTTGAGTATATACAGCGCCATATTTTGTTCGGTGATTCCGTAATTCAGATCGATAACCCACTCAAAACACTGAACTCAACCCATGCCGCTTCACTCAGTATATTTGCTAACACCAAAGAGTTCGCGTTTTATTTAGTCATGGTATAATGGAGATAAACATACTGTTTTCAATGTAGAGCTAGGTTACCTGCAGATTTAACCGCGCTAAATTTATCATGCTGTGTGTTCGGTTCAAAATTCAATTTAGCGCGGTTAAATCTACAGGTTACCTAGCTCTACATTGAAAACAGTATGTTTATCTCCTAAACAAACAAACATTCATGGAATAAGTTGGACAAGTTTCAGCCCAAAGGATCAAGGATCTTCCTCAGAAAATGTTTTTATACTCCATTTTTTTCGTGGGCCTTACAATTACTGACCACCAGATTGCCAGGTTTTTATGAGTTGTATACAGGAATGATGTATGACACACATTAGAACAAGAAACTCTGTGTGACTGATCTGTGCTCCTCAATGAAAGAACTATTTTAACACATCTTAATTTTGACCTGACCGGTCTGTTGTCCACCAGCTAGCCTACCTGGAGTCTCTACTTCGAGTTTCCTCCTGCTTCAAGTCTTCCCCGCTCTCCGCCTCACTGTCCTGTTCTTCCCCCTCTGGCGGCGGCCACTTCCCCTTCTCCTCCTTCTTCCCATCCCTTCTGGGGGACCGATCTTCCCTCTTCCTCCGTTCTCCCCTCTCCTTAGAGCGATCATCTTTGGAGCTCTTTTCATCTTTAGACATTCTAGAGTCTTTTGAACTTTTATCACTATTTCTATCATCTTTGGAGATTTTATCCTTAGTCCGTTCTGATTTGGAGCTTGAGCTCCTCGGCCTCTCATGACTTCCATCTCGTGATGCCTTCTCCTGATCTTCCTTCTCCTCTCTGGTCCTTTGATCTGGCGTTCTATCATCCTCAGGGCTCGGGTCTCCACGAGATCCACGGAACTCTCTCTCATCTCTGTGTCTCTCATCTCTCCCTACTCTCTCCTCCCTGAAGTCTCTCTCAAATTTACCTCCTCTGTTGTCCTCTCTGAATCCTCTATCATCTCTGAATCTGTCCTCCTCCTCCCTAAACCCTCTCTCATCTCTAGGTCCTCTCTCACCCTTCCGGTCCTCCCTGAATCCTCTTTCACGTCTCCGTTCATCCATGAATCCCCGGTCCTCCCCTCTGTCTAAAGAGCCACGGTCCTCTTTCATCCTGTCCAGAGGACCTCTCTCCTCCCTCCCTCTGTCCATCCCCATCCTATCCTCGCGTCCCCTGTCATCCCGCCCGCGGTTCCCCCTGCCTCTCTCGTCCACAGAACCATCTCTCCCTCTGTCCATTGGGCCTCTGTCTCTCTCCATCATTCCCCTGTCATCTCGTCCTCTGTCCATCCCACCACGCACATCTCTGTCCCTCTCACCAGGTCCTCTGTCTTCTCGGATCCTGTCATCTCGTCCTCTCTCCATTGGGATTCTCTCTTCTCTCATTCTGTCGTCATCCTCACGGCCAAACAGCCTCTCATCATGGGGGAACCTATCGTCCCGGTAACCACGTTTATCAAAGGGTGATGGACTATGTCTCTCGCGACGTCTATCATCCATTCTGTTCTCTCTCATTCGTTCATCTCTCAATCCAACCCTGTCTTCCCTCATATCAGGTCTGTCTCTCCAGCCATCCCGCATGTTTCGGTCTATTGATCGGCTCAATGGTCTTCCATCTCGACCAATCTGACGCTCATCATCTCTTCGGAAATATCTCTCATCAAATCTGTGGTCATCTCTCCTCATGTCGAACCTCTCCTCATGCGACATGTCATGTCTTTCCCCCCATTCACGACCCTGCCCAAACACCTCCCCACGGCGACGATCCTCCCACTCAGACCGACGACTCTGTCGATCAGCAAACTCAGCAGTGTACCCTGGAAGTGAAGAAGAATCAGTGAGTGAGTGAGTGAGTGAGTGAGTGAGTGAGTGTGTGAGTGAGTGAGTGAGTGAGTGAGTGAGTGAGTGAGTGAGTGAGTGAGTATCGTTTTACACCTCCTTTAACAATATTCCAGCAATATTACAGCGGAGGGACACCAGAAAAGGGCTTCTCACATTGTACATATGTTGGGTACAAGCCCGAGCAGACGCTTTAACCACTAGGCTACCCAAACACTCAAGGTAAAAGAAGAAGCTTTAGAAATATTTCCAAACTTTTGAAAAGAAACATATTCTTTAGAAACTAAAGGATGAGGTAGGATAAGTATAATATGGGTGTGAAACTGTGAATACAGGGTATGAATACATAAGCAGGCTGAATCACCTCGCATCTGCTCCTGTCTGTCTGGTGCATAGCTTCTCTCTCGCATGCCTCCTGAAAAATGAGATGTCAAATTCAACATTTTGACAGGGAACAGAGCACAGGTAAATGTTCAACTTTGTAAGTTCCCAAGCATTGCATGAAGCCAAAAGTAACCAAATTGACAGACAATTTCATTGTACATATGAAAAAAGCTGTCCGTTATTGTCCAAAAAAACCAACAAGTCTTAAATTCTGTACATCTCTCAAATTTTCATTATTAATGCATAATGTGATCATGTTGTGTTTAATGTAGCTTTCATAAATATTTCAGTTATACCTCAGCTCATCAATACTAATTGATGATCCCTGGGAAGACGCTCTATCCACTATACCACAGAGGTGGTCTCCGGGAAGACGCTCTATCCACTACACCACAGAGGTGGTCTCCAGGAAGACGCTTTATCCACTACACCATGGTGGTGGTCTCCGGGAAGAGAGTCTATCAACTACACCACAGAGGTGGTCTCCAGGAAGACGCTCTATCCACTACACCACAGAGGTGGTCTCCGGGAAGACACTCTATCCACTACACCACAGAGGTGGTCTCCGGGAAGACGCTCTATCCACTACACCACAGAGGTGGTCTCTGGGAAGACACTCTATCCACTACACCATGGAGGTGGTCTCCAGGAAGACGCTCTATCCACTACACCACAGAGGTGGTCTCCAGGAAGACGCTTTATCCACTACACCATGGTGGTGGTCTCCGGGAAGAGAGTCTATCAACTACACCACAGAGGTGGTCTCCAGGAAGACGCTCTATCCACTACACCACAGAGGTGGTCTCCGGGAAGACACTCTATCCACTACACCACAGAGGTGGTCTCCGGGAAGACGCTCTATCCACTACACCACAGAGGTGGTCTCTGGGAAGACACTCTATCCACTACACCATGGAGGTGGTCTCCGGGAAGATGCTCTATCCACTACACCACAGAGGTGGTCTCTGGGAAGACACTCTATCCACTACACCACAGAGGTGGTCTCTGGGAAGACGCTCTATCCACTACACCACAGAGGTGGTCTCTGGGAAGACGCTCTATCCACTACACCATGGAGGTGGTCTCCAGGAAGACGCTCTATCCACTACATCACAGAGGTGGTCTCTGGGAAGACACTCTATCCACTACACCACAGAGGTGGTCTCTGGGAAGACGCTCTATCCACTACACCACAGAGGTGGTCTCCGGGAAGACGCTCTATCCACTACACCATGGAGGTGGTCTCCGGGAAGATGCTCTATCCACTACACCATGGTTGTGGTCTCCAGGAAGAGTGTCTATCCACTACACCACGGAGGCGGTCTCTGGGAAGACGGTCTATACACTACACCATGGTGGTGGTCTCTGGGAAGACACTCTATCCACTACACCACAGAGGTGGTCTCCGGGAGGATGCTCTATCCACTACACCATGGAGGGGGTCTCTGGGAAGACACTCTATCCACTACACCACAGAGGTGGTCTCCGGGAAGACGCTCTATCCACTACACCATGGTGGTGGTCTCCGGGAAGAGTCTCTATCCACTTCACCACAGTGGTGGTCTCCGGGAAGACGCTCTATCCTCTACACCACAGAGGTGGTCTCCAGGAAGACGCTCTATCCACTACACCACAGAGGTGGTCTCCGGGAAGAGTCTCTATCCACTACACCACAGAGGTGGTCTCCGGGAAGAGTCTCTATCCACTACACCACAGAGGTGGGCTCTGGGAAGACGCTCTGTCCACTACACCACAGAGGTGGTCTCCGGGAAGAGTCTCTATCCACTACACCACAGAGGTTGTCTCTGGGAAGACGCTCTGTCCACTACACCACAGAGGTGGTCTCCGGGAAGAGTCTCTATCCACTACACCACAGAGGTGGTCTCCGGGAAGATGCTCTATACACAACACAATGGTGGTGGTCTCCGGGAAGAGTGTCTATCAACTAAACCACAGAGGTGGTCTCTGGGAAGAGTGTCTATCCACTACACCACAGAGGTGGTCTCCGGGAAGACGCTCTATCCACTACTCCACGGAGGTGGTCTCCGAGGAAGAGTCTCTATCCACTACACCATGGTGGTTGTCCTCGGGAAGACACTCTATCCACTACACTACAAAGGTGGTCTCCGGGAAGACACTCTATCCACTACATAGACTACCATAGACGTGGTTTTCTTGATTTCAATAGTGTGTGGGAGTTGTCAGCAAAAAACATTACCTTCATATGCGCCACGCCCTCTGCCTGCACCGCGGCCCATACCATGCATACCCTGCTGATGGCGATCACCAAAATAGTCCCTTCCTTGACCTGATGGGGAAAACATGCAACATTTTGGTATAAAGTTTGATAGGTAATATATGAAAAGTGTTATGGATATATGATCCAGAAATGAACACTACAACCCATTTGGTTTTTAAGTTAAGCTTGGGTAATGAAAGTAACCTGTATTTAAGTCAAACTTGTTGAAAAGTAAACAGGAAAAGGCAGCAATTCAGTATGTGTTTGATACATATGCAATGTTTCATAATAAAATACAACTGTTTCTGAGTAATGCTCAAAAAACCAATGCTATGCATATTTGAGTAAGTCTGGTTTATTGCCAAGGAAAAGAATTTTTCTCTCTCAAGAAATACCAAAAACACCAAAAGGCTCCAGTTCAGCATTTGTTTGATACATATGCAACATTTCGTAATAAAATCTGACTTCTGATCCTAAAACGAAACGTCACAAACACAATTGACAGATTGACAGATTGACAGACAGACAGAGAGATGGACAGATGGACAGAGCCTATTACCATATCCCACTTCATGGCAGGGGATAAAAACTGAATAAAACACATGAACAAGCAAAAAATCTATCCAGTTCTGATATAGTTGCTGATTTGTTTTTATTAAACCTGCAGGAAAGAGGAAGAACCTACCTGGATGCATTCTGCCTTGATCTGCCACCAATCTGTCCCTTCCTTCATACCTCTCCCGCCTGTTTTCTCTCCCTCGCTCAAAACTTTGTTCATGTCTGTGTCGTTCTCTTGGATCAAACTGTTCTCTGTCCTCCTGGAATCTGGACCGATCCTGGTACCGATCAGAGAACTCCGGAAAGCCTTCATCAAACCTCTCCCTTGGATCTCGGCGATGTTCCTCCCCATGTTCGTATCTTTCCCGATAATTTTCTCTGGATTGACCTCTAGGGTCAAGGTCCTCTCGCCTGTCACGTGATTCTTTACCCATTCTTCGCTCATCGGGTGACCGCCTGTCCCTGGATCGATTCACGTCAATGTCCTCATCACGACCTCTCCTTGATCTTGATCTTTGAGATCCATCGGGAGAGTGGTTTCTTCGACTGGGAGGTGTTGGTGTGGGTGATCTGTCTTCAGATCGGAATGAATCTGGTGATGCTCGTCTCCCACGCTCATCACTATGCTTTGGTCGGTCGATATCGGCATTATATTGCTCCTTGCGAGAAAACTTTCTCTCCTGACTTTGACCTCCTTTCCTTTTGTCCCCAAGGTCACTCCTACTTGGAGGAATACGTTCACGCTGTGGTGGAGTCTCGGACCTCTTTCTCTTGTTCTTCCTAAAATAGGGAGCGTCAGTAAAAGGCTGCAACAGTGTAAATGCCCTGATACATACACATCAAAGGCATAGTAAAATTATCCACTTATTGAAGTATTAGATTTAGAATACATAGATATTATAATGTGACAGCTTATTTGTCGGACGTCCTATTGGGAATTCCTGGCAGTATGGATGCCAAGTATCCCATGTGAAGGGACCAATGTCAGGTAGAGTAGTTACAATGTGCAACTGGCTGATGAGTCAACAACCCTTCAACAGCATGGGCAGAGTCTCATGCTATCAACCACTGGTTTACCTGGCCCAGACTCTTGTGCTGACTCTTTTCCCATCAGTCTTATCCCAATACAGGACTATGTAACATGAAATCCTCTTTAGGAGCGTACATCCTATCAGATTGAGTGTCAAAGAATCCCTGATTGCAAGTCCCTCTCACCTGCTCCCCGTCTCCCTCTTCTCCTCCTCCCTGTCATGCAGCATCCCCTTGAAGAACTCCCTCTCCAGGGGCTCCTTCCGGCGGGGGGATCCCGGGGACACAGACCTCGGGGGCATGTTCTCTGACCCCGGAGAGTCGGAGTGGCGTGCTGGCAGATCCTCCTCAATGTCCCTCTTTATCGGAAAAGGTAATTCCGCCTTTATCTTCTTTTTCTTTATTCTCACTGGCGAAATGTGCCTTTCCCTGGCTGCAGACCCATCACCGCCAAGTTTACCCTTGCCTTTCTTCTTCTTCTGTTTGACCTTTTCACCTTTGACCTTCTCTTTTACCAGTCCCGGAGAAATGTTCTTCTGCTTCTTTGGTGGAATGGGGGTGATGGATCTAGACCTTGACCTTGATGTTGGTGACCATGACCTATGTGACCGTTTGCCAGTTGGTGACCCTAAATCTGGGCTCAACAGTCTTTTATCAGCCTTTGATGGCTTCTCAGTATGAAATTTGTCAATCCGAGGTGAGTGTTTTTTCTTGGACTTTGGCAGATCTGGTTCCGGGGATCTGTCCAGTTTTTTATCCATCTTCTTCATCTTCTTGTGCTTGGTCTTGTGAGGTGAATCATCCTCTGTATCATACCTGCAACACATCACATCACCGTATTCAACAGAGCAAGCATGAAACACACTTGGTCTCAAGCGTAGTGACATTGCTTCAAGGTGGTCTTGTTGGACACAAACCAGAACATAATCAGTGCTGCCCTGTTAATTCCTCTATCTATGTCCCCAGCAATGTACTGAACTGAGGAAATAGTACCTCAAAGAAAGTGAGGGGGCACGGGTGGCCAAGTCGTCGCGATTCGCTGTGCAGAGTTGCGTCCCTTAGGCACGCCAGAAACCTATGATTGTGGGTTCGAATCCCGGTTCGCCCCGATTATGTTTCTAGGTTTGTCAGCACCATACCCGTGCTCGTGGGTTTCACCGAAGTGGTAAATGTCTGAGGCCTGCATCACTTGACCAAAGTCCAAAGTGATGCATGTCTCAGACATCTGCCACTTTGGTGAAACCCATGAGCACAGGTATGGTGCTGACAAACCTAGAAACATAATCGGGATTAAAACCCACGATTATAGGTTTCTGGCGTGCCCAAGGGACGCAACTCTGCACAGCTCTTTGGTGCCTTAGACGCCTGGGCAACCCATGACCTCCCTGTATCTCACAACAGAACGAGTCCAATTGGCCCTGACACTACTACTGCAAGCTAAATGACAACAACACTTGCTTGATAAATAGACAGTTTGGTATCCAATCTAATAAAGGACAAAGACACAATTATTAAATGCAGAAAGTTTCAGAAAGATGTTCCTCCAAGAGAAAGATGCTAGGGGACTCACTTCTTCTTATGTTCCTTGTGTTTGCCCATCTCAGAGGGGCTGGGTGTCCGCAGCGGACCTTTAGCTTTACCAAAGGGAGACTTCTGCTTGTGCTTCTTCTTGTCACCTTTCTTCTTACTGGAACACAAACAACACTTTCGTATCACATTTTATCAGAAGCCTGTTGAGGAAAGCATCAAGAGTCTGTGACTTTAGCAATAGTCCAAAGCCTGAGTCTAGTGTAAATCTGTTCGGTCTAGTAAGCTTAGCTAATAATAACTAAATTCTACTGAAATGATGTTAAGAGCCATGTCCTGGCAAGTAGACTCAAGTCTTTGGCATGGCTAGCATCAGATGCTCCTTTTCGAGTTGTGGCCCCATAGACGGCCCATTGTGGCCCAATGACGGCCCAATGTGGGCCTATAGTCTACTTGACAAATGTTGGTCATACATAAATATACTTGATTTGAAGCAATCCAATCTTTCTCCATGTGAACAAAAAACTTGAACTTCTTTGAGTTCACATTATGAACACTTTACAAGTGTTACATTTACATTACATTAGGTTCCCACCAAGACATAGATGCTTTGTGGTGTAGTCACTTTTGTTAACCCACGAATCAAGCCATGGCCTGGCTCCAGAGAAAGGGAAGTAAGTAAGTCATCTTTGTAGTCATTTCTGGAGATTTGAGCATGAGGTTCCAACTTGATGATGTAAATTGGACAACATTATTTTTGATAGGGAAGTGTCGAGAGAGTTGTTCCCCATAGATGTAGCTGGGCAACGTAGATAAACACTATGGCCGAATGATCACACCCAGAAATGGGAGAGTGGGAGAGATGTGACAATCAGCATTGGGAGAAAAGGTACAGATAATTAGTGTGAAATTTGTAAGAATATGCGGGAAATACCAAACTTAACCCCCTGTTCATAAAATAGACTTGCCCGTTATGGCCGAGGTTGGATTGTATTCAGGGTGTCATCATTATTTAAATATTTTTAAAGCATGTACATTATATTTACATCTTTAAGAGGCTGTTCATAACGTTGATATCTCATATAAGAAATAACAGAGATCTACTTTTTCTAATACAGCCCAGGCTAGGTCAGCTGAGGTGATGTGAGGTGTGTGCGTGGGTGCTTGTACTACTTTGAACAAATGCCCTTCTTTTATAGTGCTATCCCACTGAGATACCATGCTACAGTTTTTACATGAAGACTCCATTCAGACACATTATACAGACTCCGTTAATGCATAGTGCAAGGCAGGGTAACAACAAATACCATCTTTTATTGCGTTTTGGTATGATGTGGGTGGGGATCAAACCACCAACCTTCTGCTGTCCAGGCAGATGCTCTATTGACTGGACAAGGAGGCGGTCCAAGGTCAGTTGACTGCAGGAGTACATCCGTACAACAGTGCAGCCAGCTCAATGAGTGGTAACTACACGCTATAGATTAACAAACTCGCTGCAGCAGGAATCAACGCGGTCATTTGACATCCTGCATCCTGGCTTACAGGAAACCCGGAATATACTCCCCAGGGAGTAGCATACTGTCTCAGTTTACTGGCCATTCCACTTACCTTGGAGGGGATGTCTTCTTTGGGGACTTCTCGGGAAAAGCTTTGGTTCTCTCTGGACTGCTGTCTGAATCTGAGTAGTCACTGGAAAATGGCTGGAAAAGTACAACATAACCTTTTGTATCAATTCTTTCAAGAATTAGATTTCTGAACCTGTAAACACGCAAGCCATGTTCACAGCCTCATCTAGGGTAACACGTTCATAACTTTGGGGAGGGGAATTGGTACTGCTGGGGGGAGGTATAAACGAAGCACTACATAGTTATGAATCAGCAACCAGTGGATGTCTGATTGTAAAAGTGAAGCAGTACATAGCTATGTATCAGTAACCAGTGGATGTCTGATTGTAAAAGTGAGGCAGTACATAGTTATGAATCAGTAACTAGTGGATGTCTGATGGTAAAAGCGTGGCAGTACATAGCTATGTATCAGTAACTAGTGGATGTCTGATTGTAAAAGTGAGGCAGTACATAGCTATGTATTAACAACCAGTGGATGTCTGATTGTAAAAGCGAGGCAGTACATAGCTATGAATCAGCAACCAGTGGATGTCTGATTGTAAAAGCGAGGCAGTACATAGCTATGAATCAGCAACCAGTGGATGTCTGATTGTAAAAGCGAGGCAGTACATAGCTATGTATCAGTAACTAGTGGATGTCTGATTGTAAAAGTGAGGCAGTACATAGCTATGTATTAACAACCAGTGGATGTCTGATTGTAAAAGCGAGGCAGTACATAGCTATGAATCAGCAACCAGTGGATGTCTGATTGTAAAAGCGAGGCAGTACATAGCTATGAATCAGCAACCAGTGGATGTCTGATTGTAAAAGCGAGGCAGTACATAGCTATGTATCAGTAACTAGTGGATGTCTGATTGTAAAAGTGAGGCAGTACATAGCTATGTATTAACAACCAGTGGATGTCTGATTGTAAAAGCTAGGCAGTACATAGCTATGAATCAGCAACCAGTGGATGTCTGATTGTAAAAGCGAGGCAGTACATAGCTATGAATCAGCAACCAGTGGATGTCTGATTGTAAAAGCGAGGCAGTACATAGCTATGTATCAGCAACCAGTGGATGTCTGATTGTAAAAGTGAGGCAGTACATAGTTATGAATCAGCAACCAGTGGATGTCTGATTGTAAAAGCGAGGCAGTACATAGCTATGAATCAGTAACCAGTGGATGTCTGATTATAAGCGAGGCAGTACATAGCCATGTATCAGTAACCAGTGGATGTCTGATTGTAAAAGTGAAGCAGTACATAGCTATGTATCAGTAACCAGTGGATGTATGATGGTAAAAGTGAAGCACTACATAGCCATGTATCAGTTACCAGTGGATGTCTGATTGTAAAAGTGTTGCAGTACATAGCTATGTATCAGTAACCAGTGGATGTCTGATTGTAAAAGCGAAGCACTACATAGCTATGTATCAGTAACCAGTGGATGTCTGACGGTAAATGCGAAGCACTACATAGCTATGTATCAGTAACCAGTGGATGTCTGACGGTAAATGCGAAGCACTACATAGCTATGTATCAGTAACCAGTGGATGTCTGACGGTAAATGCGAAGCACTACATAGCTATGTATCAGTAACCAGTGGATGTCTGACGGTAAATGCGAAGCACTACATAGCTATGTATCAGTAACCAGTGGATGTCTGACGGTAAATGCGAAGCACTACATAGCTATGTATCAGTAACCAGTGGATGTCTGACGGTAAATGCGAAGCACTACATAGCTATGTATCAGTAACCAGTGGATTACATTGCTATGAATCATCAACCAGTGGTTCTTGAACAAACAGAGCTTTCTGTCTGTGTTCCAGTGAAATACATTCTTCAACACAGGTGCAGAAACCTTTAAAGGGGAAGTGTACACGCAAAAATCACTTTCTTTCTTTTTCTAAACAAAACGCAATTTTAGAATTAATTAGTATCTGTGTTTGAAAATATACACTCATTTTTTTCACAGTGAACGTAGGAAGCTCACAATAGTGTGAAAATGATATGCCGTTATGAGGCCTTCGTTTTTCGAGCTAAACAGGCCTGAGTTATCCCCCTTAGATTATGACGTAATTGGTGCCAATTCAACTGGGTCCCTGTCTATTCTCAACGCAAAAGATATCAAGTATCATTTTGCGGTAAAACAACATGGCCTACGACACACTCCGGCGCAGTGGTGACTCAGCATAACACTATGCTAGCTGGCATCTGAGACGCAAGAATCACACAACTGTACCTACACCACGTGAAGCGGCTCTAACAAAGCAGGATGACGTCATAATGTTTATCAATTGGCACCAATGACGTCATATTGCAAGGGGCATAAGCCATGGTGTTTTTGTTGTGGAAATAGAACACTTGGTAAATGTGAAAAATATAAATCGTTTTAATGCGACAAATATGTTAATTAATTGTGATATTTTTATATTTTTGTCTATGACACTTCTATGTTAACACTTTTAATGTGGAAAAAGTACAAGAAAAATAGGTTCATTTCCGTGTGAACTTGCCCTTTAAGGAAACACACTAAAAAATCCAGTACCTTGCTCAATACAGAAGAGTGTACATTGTGAAGAGAAGTATGAAAGCTGTGGTGATGGTTATACAGGGATGTACCTGGATGTATCTAGTATCAAAACCAGGAGACATGGCGTCCCAGGCTGGCTGCATGTGGCTACACTGGACTTTCACAACTTTGACTGATGTAATACCATTCCACATGTTTAGTAGCCATAAGCCTCTTATACAAGATAGCCATGACATAAATCGCAAAGAACAATCAAGAACAAGGCGAGGGTTTTTTTTCACACTAAAACATTCTACAGTGACCACCATTTCAGGAGATTTGAAAATACCCTCGCAACTTGATGACATCGTAAATTGAATGATGCTAGTTTTGAGAGGGTAGTATGTTGACAACAAGAGTCATCAGAAAGATGACATATCCCCCTGGCTGCTGTCTGTAAAGTAACCACAAGTAAATGTGCAATTCTGTATGTAATGAGGCAAGAGTTGAATGTTCTTTAAGAAGCGTACATTGTTTACCGACAAAAGATCAACCATGGTCGCATCCATATGAAATGAAAAGTAAAATGTGTGTTTCTGTGTTGTTTTTTTATGCAAACAAATGACAAATTACAAGAAACAATAACTAAACAAGCGTATAGTCAACAAAGTCGTCTATATCCCCCAACCATTTTAACACGTTATGGTCCCAAACCAGGTAACTGACCCAACATTTCTCTTAGCCCATGTCGAAATTGCTGCAATGGAAATTCTAAAATAAACATTTCTAAAACTCCTTAATATCAAATGGCACCTGTTCAGTATAAACTTTATATATGGACATGCAATGTTTGGCAAGAAAATATTTAACAGTTTATTTGTTATACTCCATAAGTGAACCCACCCTATATGAAAACTTAAATCCAACTTGTTGCCATGGAAACGTAAAAAAAAAATTAATTTTTTTTTCCTAAATAGCAAAAGGCACCAGTTCAGTATGTGCATGGTAGACATGCAAAGTTTTGTAAGAAAGTATTTAACAGTTTTGAGTTACGCTCCGGAAACGAACACCACCCTTTTAGAACCTAAGTCCAACTTGTTGCCATGGAAACATAAAAAATAAAAATTTATAATATTCCTAAAAAGCAAAAGGCACCAGTTCAGTATGTGCATGGTAGACATGCAAAGTTTTGTAAGAAAGTATTTAACAGTTTTTGAGTTACGCTCCGGAAACGAACACCACCCTTTAAGAACCTAAGTCCAACTTGTTGCCATGTAAACGTAAAAAATTCTAAAATTCTAAAATTCCTAAATAGCAAAAGGCACCAGTTCAGCATGAGTTTGATAGACATGCAAAGTTTTGTAAAAAAGTTTTGAATGGGTTTTGAGTTATGCTCCGGAAACGAACTCTACCCTATAGAACCTAAGTCCAACTGGTTGCCATGGAAACATAAAAAATAAATAAATTTTTTTTTCCTAAATAGCAAAAGGCACCAGATCAGTATGTGCATGGTAGACATGCAAAGTTTTGTAAGAAAGTATTTAACGTTTTTTGGGTTACGCTCCGGAAACGAACACCACCCTTATAGAACCTAAGTCCAACTTGTTACCATTGAAACGTAAAAAATAAAAATTTCTAAAATTCCTAAATAGCAAAAGGCACAACTTCAGTATGTGACTGATAGATATGCCAAGTTTCAATCAAATACACTGAATTATTTTCGAGTTCTGCTCCAGAAAAGGAAATGATTACGGACGGACAGACGGACAGACAGACTGGCTGATGGCTATATCCCCCCGCATTATATGCCAGGGGGGATAATAAAAGATATATAGTTGCAAGCAGTGTAGTCATTGGTCAGTTTGACCAAGCTTCATCAAGATTGGTTTACTGTTCCATATCTATGTAGATCATAGAACGGGGCCCTGTTAAATGACTTGGTCTTACTGTAACAGCTCCCAGAGTTACAACATTGCGCTAAGATGGCTGCATGGAACAGGGCCCTGTTAAATGACTTGGTCTTACTGTAACAACTCCCAGAGTTACAACATTGCGCTAAGATGGCTGCATGGAACAGGGCCTGTTTAATGACTTGGTCTTACTGTAACAACTCCCAAAGTTACAACATTGCGCTAAGATGGCTGCATGGAATGGGGTCCTGTTAAATGACTTGGTCTTACTGTCACAACTCCCAGAGTTACAACATTGCGCTAAGATGGCTGCATGGAACAGGGCCCTGTTAAATGACTTGGTCTTACTGTAACAACTCCCTGAGTTACAACATTGCGCTAAGATGGCTGCATGGAACAGGGCCCTGTTAAATGACTTGGTCTTATTGTAACAACTCCCAGAGTTACAACATTGCGCTAAGATGGCTGCATGGAACAGGGCCCTGTTAAATGACTTGGTCTTATTGTAACAACTCCCAGAGTTACAACATTGCGCTAAGATGGCTGCATGGAATGGGGTCCTGTTTAATGACTTGGTCTTACTGTAATAACTCCCAGAGTTACAACATTGCGCTAAGATGGCTGCATGGAACGGGGCCCTGTTTAATAACTTGGTCTTACTGTAACAACTCCCAGAGTTACAACATTGCGCTAAGATGGCGGCATGGAACAGGGCCCTGTTAAATGACTTGGTCTTACTGTAACAACTCCCAGAGTTACAACATTGCGCTAAGATGGCTGCATGGAACAGGGCCCTGTTTAATGACTTGGTCTTACTGTAACAACTCCCAGAGTTACAACATTGCGCTAAGATGGCTGCATGGAACGGGGCCTGTTTAATAACTTGGTCTTACTGTAACAACTCCCAGAGTTACAACATTGCGCTAAGATGGCTGCATGGAACAGGGCCCTGTTATATGACTTGGTCTTACTGTCACAACTCCCAGAGTTACAACATTGCGCTAAGATGGCTGCATGGAACAGGGCCCTGTTATATGACTTGGTCTTACTGTAACAACTCCCAGAGTTACAACATTGCGCTAAGATGGCTGCATGGAACAGGGCCCTGTTTAATGACTTGGTCTTACTGTAACAACTCCCAGAGTTACAACATTGCGCTAAGATGGCTGCATGGAACGGGGCCTGTTTAATAACTTGGTCTTACTGTAACAACTCCCAGAGTTACAACATTGCGCTAAGATGGCTGCATGGAACAGGGCCCTGTTATATGACTTGGTCTTATTGTAACAACTCCCAGAGTTACAACATTGCGCTAAGATGGCTGCATGGAACAGGGCCCTGTTAAATGACTTGGTCTTACTGTAACAACTCCCAGAGTTACAACATTGCGCTAAGATGGCTGCATGGAACTGGGCCCTGTTAAATGACTTGGTCTTACTGTAACAACTCCCAGAGTTACAACATTGCGCTAAGATGGCTGCATGGAACAGGGCCCTGTTTAATGACTTGGTCTTACTGTAACAACTCCCAGAGTTACAACATTGCGCTAAGATGGCTGCATGGAACGGGGCCTGTTTAATAACTTGGTCTTACTGTAACAACTCCCAGAGTTACAACATTGCGCTAAGATGGCTGCATGGAACAGGGCCCTGTTATATGACTTGGTCTTACTGTCACAACTCCCAGAGTTACAACATTGCGCTAAGATGGCTGCATGGAACAGGGCCCTGTTATATGACTTGGTCTTACTGTAACAACTCCCAGAGTTACAACATTGCGCTAAGATGGCTGCATGGAACAGGGCCCTGTTTAATGACTTGGTCTTACTGTAACAACTCCCAGAGTTACAACATTGCGCTAAGATGGCTGCATGGAACGGGGCCTGTTTAATAACTTGGTCTTACTGTAACAACTCCCAGAGTTACAACATTGCGCTAAGATGGCTGCATGGAACAGGGCCCTGTTAAATGACTTGGTCTTACTGTAACAACTCCCAGAGTTACAACATTGCGCTAAGATGGCTGCATGGAACAGGGCCCTGTTAAATGACTTGGTCTTACTGTAACAACTCCCTGAGTTACAACATTGCGCTAAGATGGCTGCATGGAACAGGGCCCTGTTAAATGACTTGGTCTTATTGTAACAACTCCCTGAGTTACAACATTGCGCTAAGATGGCTGCATGGAACGGGGCCTGTTTAATAACTTGGTCTTACTGTAACAACTCCCAGAGTTACAACATTGCGCTAAGATGGCTGCATGGAACGGGGCCTGTTTAATAACTTGGTCTTATTGTAACAACTCCCAGAGTTACAACATTGCGCTAAGATGGCTGCATGGAACTTGGTCTTACTGTAACAACTCCCAGAGTTACAACATTGCGCTAAGATGGCTGCATGGAACGGGGCCTGTTTAATAACTTGGTCTTACTGTAACAACTCCCAGAGTTACAACATTGCGCTAAGATGGCTGCATGGAACAGGGCCCTGTTATATGACTTGGTCTTACTGTAACAACTCCCAGAGTTACAACATTGCGCTAAGATGGCTGCATGGAACAGGGTCCTGTTAAATGACTTGGTCTTACTGTAACAGCTCCCAGAGTTACAACATTGCGCTAAGATGGCTGCATGGAACAGGGCCCTGTTAAATGACTTGGTCTTACTGTAACAACTCCCAGAGTTACAACATTGCGCTAAGATGGCTGCATGGAACTGGGCCCTGTTAAATGACTTGGTCTTATTGTAACAACTCCCAGAGTTACAACATTGCGCTAAGATGGCTGCATGGAACGGGGCCTGTTTAATAACTTGGTCTTACTGTAACAACTCCCAGAGTTACAACATTGCGCTAAGATGGCTGCATGGAACGGGGCCTGTTTAATAACTTGGTCTTATTGTAACAACTCCCAGAGTTACAACATTGCGCTAAGATGGCTGCATGGAACTTGGTCTTACTGTAACAACTCCCAGAGTTACAACATTGCGCTAAGATGGCTGCATGGAACGGGGCCTGTTTAATAACTTGGTCTTATTGTAACAACTCCCAGAGTTACAACATTGCGCTAAGATGGCTGCATGGAACGGGGCCTGTTTAATAACTTGGTCTTACTGTAACAGCTCCCAGAGTTACAACATTGCGCTAAGATGGCTGCATGGAATGGGGTCCTGTTTAATGACTTGGTCTTATTGTAACAACTCCCAGAGTTACAACATTGCGCTAAGATGGCCTCGTGGAACAGGGTTTTGTATTATGGCTTGGTCTTAGCGTTACAACTCCCATCCTTCACCAGGGGGTCTGTGAAAGAAGATAGCTGACACTTATCACGTCCACTGCACTACCTTAATGGTAACATGTGGAATCCAAAGCATGTGACAGGAACATGCTTCTCCAAGTCTCAGTTTATTTGGGTAGAGCTGCATGGCAACACTACTTCACAGACAAGTAAAAAGGAACAGGAAGAAGAGTAAAACATTAAATCTAAAACTTACTTTTGTAGGTTGCGGTCTGTTCTTCTTAAGGGTAAAACTCACAGATTCCTAAATCAAATGAAAGACAATGTAGCTCACATGTTTTGTATTTGATCCCTCTGAATGTTACATTGTCAAGCTAATTCCCGATATCACAATTAAGACAACAAACTGTTTTCATAACATGATTTGTAACTTTAACGATTAAATATTTAAATATTGCAGGCATGTGGTTGAAGAAAGAAAGAGGGACTGGAAAGACTTGTTTTCTTTGCTGTGCATCTCCTAAAGATGTGTGGTCGATATCAACACATCAAAATCGAAAGATCAAAAAGACGGAATTCCGGCTTTAAATGGATATATCACAAAGCTGTTATTGTGATAGCTTTTTTATTCAGATAGCTTTTTTATTCAGACATTCAAACCAATATAACTGTCAAAACATTTTCCATGTTTAAAACTAACCAGCAAACTTATCTGTATTCCATATTTTTGTGAAATTCTCTTCACAACATAGCTACTAACAGGACCAACATGATTAAGGCAGCGATTTTGTATTTGAAATGTGACTTTTTCCGCAAAGTGAATGGGGAGTGAGTGAGTTGGGTTTAACACCGCTTTTAACATTATTCCAGTTATATCGCGGCATGTCAGCTAAATGTGGGAGGAAAGCACGAAGTGATGCAGGTCTAAGACAGTTACCAGTTCAGTGAAACCCACAAGCACGGGTATGGTGCTGACAAACCTAGAAACATAACCGGGGTGAACCGGGATTCGAACCCACAATCATAAATTTCTGGCCTGCCCAAGGGATGCAACTCTGCACAGCGAATCGCGGCGCCTTAGATGACTGGGGGACTAGTGCCCCCCAAAGTGAATAGGAAGTGTTTGGTGAAGAATCCAAACAATAGAAATAATATACCAAGGCAATGTCTGATTTCTTTATATTTGTAGCATGTGTTACCCATCTGACAAAATTAACTTACCTGATTCCTGAATGTTTATATCCTGTATTTAGTACCTAACCTACACTGATCCTATTTTCATTTGAATACTGTCCCCCTAATGTCTGTCAGTCCCAACTTTCAACCAATAAAAAAACATATGAAAATAACCTGGTTAAAATCTTTCAACATCATGATTTTATAAGTATAATAAGATTTATAAGGTACTTTATTTGCCGGTCCACAGAGACTGGCAGTCACACGAATTACCGGTCCAAGCCTAATATATTTGTGCCAGTACAATTCTGGTAATTACCAGTAAACGGGAACAATGTGTTAATTTGTTTGTTGTTTAACACCTCACTCAGTAATATTCCATCCATATGATGGGGGTCTGAAAACAATAAAGTCTGGACCAGACAATCCAGTTATTGACATCCTGAGTATCGATCCATGCAATTGGGATACCATGACATGCATCAACCAAATAAGCGAGCCTGACCACCCGATCATGTTAGTCGCCTTTTACGACAAGCATAGTCACTTTTTCTTTGTCTTCCAGATGCTGTTAGGAGTTGTCATAAATACATCCATTTAGTCTTCCATCTAGTGCAGTGTGTAATATAGAATGGCAGATTTGAACTACAAAAACCCTACAATTGACTTTCAACACCAAGTAAATACACTTCAGTCGCTAAACATTAAAGTAGGGGAAAACACAAGAATGTGTGACAAAAGAAGCCATGGAACTCCCGACTTCAGGAATGCACATGCACACAATTGAAACATTATCAATATCTATACTATGACTATGGATCAAATCTGCCAGACAGGAAAAATATTCTTGCTACGACTGTCGTGAGTGAGTGAGTTGGGTTTAACGCTGCTTTTAACAGTATTCCAGTTACCTCATGGCGTGTAAGCTTAATGTGGAAGGAAAGCCCGAAGTGATGCAGGTCTCGGACGTTTACCACTTTGGTGAAACCAACGAGCACGGGTATGGTGCTGACAAACCTAGAAACATAATCTGGGCGAACTGGGATTCAAACCCACAATCATAGGTTTCTGGCATGCCCAAGGGACGCAACTCTGCATACGAATTACGGCGCCTTAGACGACTTGGCCATCCATGCCTCCAGACAAATTGTGAGAGAAAAGTGCTTAGATATATACATAACTACATTGCCAACAGTGTTGACATGCCTGAATCAAAGAAAGCACTTAAATAGATCTCCTTATTGACAACTACAAGTGTACTCCCTGAACAGCCAGCCATCTGCACATATAAAATTTATAAAATAGACTCCTTACAATCCTGCTTTCGACACTGGCTTAACTCTTATTTGACAGATGAATTGGGAGGTCCTTAACTTTATTTGAGCAGTGTATGAACAAACATGGCTCAACATGCAAACTAACGCCAGGGGACTTTTGTCTGTGATGACAGAAACTGAAAAACTCATGTAGACACTTAGACACCTGCATTAGACAAGTCTGATGTAATGATGCATTGTACACATCCTATCTTGGTTTGTTTGTTGTTTAACGCTGCACTCAGCAATCTTCCAGCTATATGACGGCGGTGTGTAAATAATCGAGTCTGAGGTGATTGATATCATGAGCATCGATCCACGCAATTGGGGTCGATGACATGCTTCAACCAAGTCAGCGAGACTGACCACCCGATCCCTTTAGTTGCCTCTTACGACAAGCATAGTCGCCTTTTACAGCAAGCATGGGTTGCTGAAGACCTATTCCACCCCGGATCTTCATGGGTCACATCCCATCTATAATCCTCAACATCAAGTTGTCACTACTGGTTTGTATACACTATATATTTCCTCTAGTCTGTCATACAGACCCTGAAACCAGTCCATGAAAGTCTATAATGTCCAGCAAGTCTAGATTGCTGCAGTATCAGAAAGAAAGTCTCTTGGCTCCTTTTTATTATGTTTCATAACTATAATTTAACAACTGTCTTAATCTGTAAACATGTTAAAATATGTTCATTTCAGAGATTAGGTGTTGGTCTAATTTTCCTCCATCACCAGACTACGTATACGACTTACAGTGGTAGCGATTCAATTCTAAAGAAAAGAAGTCTTTTAATTACCAACGAACTACAGTAAACTATGGTTGTAATGAACTCAAACGGACCGCTAATTTTAGTTCGTTATAACCGTAGTTCAATATAAGCATATGTACAGCATATATATATCAAATACGTTTGTTATACCCGTCAGTTCTTTATAAGTGTGTTCGTTATAAACGTAGTTTACCACATGTTTACTGTATGTAAACTCAGCTTTCATTGGTCTATGGTTTTCCTTTCGTTTGAATCAGGCCATGTCATTGTTTGTTGGTTAGAAACAGTAAGCGAGTATGGTTTTACGTCACTTTAAGAAATATTCCAGCAATATCATGGCGGGGGACACCAAAAATGGGCTTCACACATTGTACCCATGTCTGGAATCAAACCCGGGTCTCAGCTGTATGACAACGGCCTGTAAATAATGAAGTCTGGACCAGACAATCTAGTGATCAGTATTGTGGGCAATGATCCTGTCAGTGTAAGGTGACACGCAATCAAGCAAGTCACTGAGCCTGACCACCGATCCTTGTGGTCCCCAGGGTGCTACTGCTGGGGACCTACCCTAGTAGGGAATCCCCAGGGGGTGAACCTCAGGGAAACAGAGTTGGGGATGATATTCAGACATACCAGAGAGGTACTGGATCTCACCCAAAACAGTTGGGACCAATCACTTTTGAACAGACAACAATGGAAGATTTTGACAAATAGGACTATACATGAAAACAAGCAACAAAAAAGTCATTCACTCTTACATTACCCATCTACATAAGTTCTAAAAAAAGAAAGAACGTACGGTATGGGCAAACTGATACTAGTTTTAGGTAGGCCCAAGTGTTTGAAACAAATATCCAATGTTTGTGATTGGGAGTGATATATGTCTTAGAAGTCCTTACTGGGATAAGCATGGTCAACTTACGTCCTGAGCATTACCATGAATAACTGTTGTAACAATAGTAACAGTGCCCTGTGTTTGGACACGAGATGATTCAGTAATGCTTACCCTGGCTATTTTCTCTTTGGAGGGCACCTTCTTTTCGATGGTGATATTTTCCCTCTCTTCTCCCTCGGATGCTGCTAACTGGCTCAGTGCTCGCTGAATCTCTTGACGTTTCTTTTCAAGTTCCAGTTCTTTCTTGTAATCTAATACTGAAAACAAATAAAACACACAAAGGGTTATTACACGAGCATGTGTGTCATACTGATTTTACGAAACGAGTGTCAGAATTCTTGTATTTCCCGAGCGAGAGGGATTTTCGTAAAATCAGTAGGACACACATGTGTGTAATAATTTCTTTATTACCCATTATTTCTTAATCCTTTGGAGCTCCCCTTAATCCTTTGGAGCTCCCCTTCAGAAAAATGCATTGATCACCAACGCTGTCCTAGAAAACCACAATTTGTGGAGTGACGTAAACAATGTTCAGCTTTAATGTCATTTCTAGTGTGACATCCTTCCGACCTAACATGACAATAAGAATGATGTTAACAATGCCGTCCAGATGACGTAAACAATACAAGGGTGTGCAAGAAGTGATATTGGCACTAGTGCACTTACAATTTTTATGAACTCGGTTATTTCTACCCCTATGGATAATAAATATTTTTCATAAACTGTGTGGCTAACAGCGATGTTAACTAACAGAGGCTCTTAGAGTGTCTGACCACCAGACATATTGTCTGAAACAATGCTAGCCTTTTGACCAACACTTGACCCATGCACTAGCACAGATTTGTTTTGAGACTGATTAAAAAACAAGTAACAATTGAACCCAATACTGTCACAAACGAGAGACAGTTTGTGCTAAGTTAGAGATAGGAGCGATGACATCACTTCTAAAACGAAGCTTTGGTGGCAAATGGTTCATGTCAATACAGAATTTAGGTACATTGGAAAATCAAAGATGACTGAGTGAGTTTAATGAATCCAAATTTACTACCCGGGTACCCAACCCCCTATTACCCGACCCTACTTGGTACCCACTGTAGGTCTCAAGAGTTGGGAACACAATGTCTAATTGGGAATAGTTTAACTGTAGCCCTGGCAAAAACTGTTTAGATACATGTAAGAAACCAGAGACCATATAATAGATACATGGTCTCTTATGAAACAATCAAGTCATGCGTACACTGAAGTTGACTGAAGCTATATCTTTACTCAAACATAAGTCAAAAGGAATGTGTGCATCATCATAAAGAAATGGGAACATTAGCGACTTGTAGTGTAACCACTGAGCTCTAGTGAGTTTTTGTCATTAAACAATATGTCACGTGACTAACCATGGGTCTGGGTAGTAAGGGGTACCTGGGTTCTACTCAGGACCCACCCGACCCGAGTAACCGAGCTACCCGTCCCAGCCCTACCACTTTGAACATTTTGCTTGCTTGTTGTTTCACGCCACATTCAGCAATATTCCAGGTATATGATGGCGGTCTGTAAATAATCGAAAAACCTAGAAATATAATCAAATGGACCCAGGATTTGAACCCATGACCATAGGTTTCTGCCACACAACAGAGGGATGCAACTCTGCACAAAGGCTGGTTGGTTTGTTGTTTAACACAGCAATATTCCAGCTATATGACGGCGGTCTGTAAATAATCGATTCTGGACCAGACAATCCAGTGATTAATATCACGAGCATCGATCCACGCAATTGGGATCGATGTCATGCATCAACCAAGTCAGAGAGCCTGACCAACCGATCCTGTTAGTCGCCTTAGATAACAGCACCACCCGTGTCACTTGAGCATGGTAACCCATGAGAATATGTAGAACAGATCTAACCTTCAGCGTCCCAGTTGTCGGAGTTTTCAGAATCCTCGTCTCCGCTATCTCCACCAGTTGTATTTTTAACAACAACCGTAGATTTGATTTTGGTTTCTTTATCGTGCCGTGACCTTGACCCTGACCTGGATTCAGGTGACACGGAACCCTCTGGGTGATGTCTTTCTGTGCTGCCTTTAACTTTTAGTCGCAAATCTTCTGCTCCGTCGTCGTCGCTACGACTGGAAAAAAGAAAAGACTTTTTGCTGCAAACCATTCTTCTGTTTGAAACGAAAATGTTAACACAACAGTCTAATAATAGGCACCAAAAGGCTTTGCAGTTCATCTAACTAGGGACTGGTCATAAATTATAGAGGCGAGGGGGTCATCATGATTGGTGTTAGTACTGTGCAATACTTTGCTGGCATTGCCTAATTGTGTATCAGTTTTCACGGTCCCCCAAAATACATGCAACATTTTAGCATCACTTTCCCCATACCAAATTACCTTAAATATGTTTAAAGATAGTTTAATAGTTGTTATAAAATCAGAATCTTTCTCCAATTATATCAGAAGCATGTCACCATTTTCTGGGTTACAGATTTTTGCTACATTAGGCATGAAGTTGTTTGAGTTGATAGGTTTAGTGGGAAAAATAAATAGTAATACTATTTCAAGTGCAGGGAGTTTCACGCCTGGGAACACATGGAGATTGTCTTGTTCGCTGACAGGAGGACTGCAGTGGCCAGAGATTACAACATTTTTAAATGATTCCCCATGTTAATGGTTAGTTTAAGTTTTCATGATTTTTGTGGTTGAATATTTTGTATTTTTGTTATAAAAAGAAGTCGGCAAAAAATATAAATATAAATTGTTGTTTTATCTTAATTTCTTTCAGCTCTGGTTTGTTGAATCTGCAAACCCCAAAAGTGTAAAAATGGCTGCCCATGGCCAATGTTCTGAATAGCAACCAGCATTCCTAGTGAACATATGCAGCTAGTTTGTCCCATGAACATATCTGTGACGGGTGTGACTTTTAAAGCAATACTCCAAATGGATGAGTCAGAATGGTTTTACGTCGCTTTTAGCAATATTCCAGTGTGAAATCGAACCCGGGTCTTCGGCGTGACGAGCGAACGCTTTAACCACTAGGCTACCCGACCGCTCCCCAAATGGATGATGTCAAAGGGGATGTGTATAATGAGTGACAGAACAGTCCAAGTCTTACTTCTTTGTTGGTCTCTTGGCTATAAAGGGACCATGCTGAAACTTGCACTTGGCACCAAATGGACAATTTCCTGTGAGTAGCCAGTGTCGACACTTATCAAGGTATAAACTTTGACTCTGGCTCTTAGACTTTTCACCTCTCTGAAAACCAAGATATTGATAAAGGTATTGCTAAAAATGCTTATGAATATTAGTTTGTGATTCAGTGAAAATGTGTTAACTAACCACAAAACTAGTGTCTTGAAATGTGTTTGTATTGATCGCAAATAGTCATGGACATTGTCAAACTGTACAATGAGGTTGTGGAAAAAATATTTGTGAAACGTCATCCATCAGCATTAGGAACTTGCACTAGTCCTGCTGTCCTTGCCAAACTGCCCAACAGTTAAGGTATCATAAGGACTAGTAGAAATTTGCTCTTTTTTATGGGCTTTGCTATATGTTATCATTATAAGGACTAGTGGACTGAAACTGTTAGTTTCTATTGCTGATCCATCTGTCTATTATACTGGTATTCTGAAAGAAAATCAGATGGCAACTGCATCTAGGGATTGAGTTGTCAGATGTCATGGAAAAATTGCAATAGCAACTGACTTTATTCCTGTGTCGGGGCCTGGTTAGCAGTGCTTCAGTTTGCTAGGAGGACTGAGTCCAGGAACATATCTAAAATAGTTCCACGACACAACAGCTCACCAAACAGTTCATAATGTCGACTGACAGTCACTTAAATAGTTTGGAGTCTTCAGTACTTCAGTACTTATGACACTAAACTAACACTAAAATCTTATGATTTGGAGAAACATACATGATGATACATGGTCAGCTTCTTTCGTCTGACTAGTTTAAGGATGTTCAGGGGAGAATATGAGAGTATGTCAACACCATATCTTTGGTGTATGAATCAAAGATGGCTACCAGTCAGCCATATTGAAATTTCAATTTTGATGCCTTGAACAAAGGTAAACCATCTTATATATATAACAAGCATCACACAAAAACATTCAGCTGAATCCATTCATGCTTCAAGCGAACAATATGATAGTGCAGTGGAACTCCCTCAAACTATGGGAATAAGAAAACCTATCATCGCCTTATTTTCAAACTCATGTTGGCAGATAGACTTAAAGAAGATGCCGCCAAGCAAAGGATAGACATACGTATGCAACATCGTGGACAACTATTCAAGAGTAGCTGTTGGAAAAGCTACCAAGACTAAAACAGCAAAGTAAATAGCTTCGGTTGGACTTCACTTCATCTATATTTTTGGTGCTCCACGTACTTTACAGTACGATAATGGACAAGAGTTTATAATTAGCCAAACTGGTGAACCAGCGAAGCCCGTTCGAAACCCCCACAGAGCTAATTGGATCTGAAAAAGTGCACCCGGTAAACAGCGGTAGAAACTAACAGTTTCAGTCCACTAGTCATTATAATGATAGCATATAGCAAAACCATTAAAAATGGCAAAATTCTACTAGTCCTTAGGATACCTTTACTATTGGGCAGTTTGGAAAGGGCTATAGGATTAGCTATAGTGCCAATTTCTAACCCTGGTAAAGTGTACTATGATCCTTGCTAAACCGCCCAATAGTTAAGGCATCATAAGGATTAGGCTGATGCTCATGATGATTATTCTACACACAGGCCTACAATTCGCTAATTAGTAATTACCATGATTACCTTCAGATTGCGACAATGATTCAGTTGCAATCAAAATATATGCACTGAAACTGTGCATCAGTGCCCTTGTTTCTCTATTCAGGTAGTTTTATATTATAGGTTCCCAAAACCTAAGAGTCGCTAAAAGTAAACATTGCTGAGTGAGACTGAGAGAGAGTGATGATGACTAAGATGACAGAGAAGGTGTAATCTACATAAAGAAAGCGCAAAAACTAAAGGTCGAGGGTGCAATTAGCGAGTGCTCTGATCTCAACTCGCATCTATACAGCAATTTCTGCTTCATTGTCGTAAAAGTAATTCAGTTATGGGAGATGGGAGATGAAAGCGGTATCGTTGGTCTTTCGTTTTGAAAACAGAGGTCGGGTTGGTTTGTCCGGTATCACTTGCCTCCTCATATTTTCTCTGTCCACCACCTGGTCCCAGTCTTTCAAAGACGCTGGGCTTCCTCTTTTCTGATTCCTCTGAGACAGGCTTCCCGGTATCAACTGTCACCCTCCTCCTGGGTTTGCTCATCTTCCGAATGATCACAATTTACTTGTGCTGTGAATGGTAGCCATTTTGCTTTAGGAGGGGAGGCAACTCTGAATCCTTTTCGTATCTAACCCTCGCTAAAAACAAGTGTCTACATTAGGCTAAAATAAATAATAGTCTTGGTTACATGGCACCACCTGCATCATCATTAAGTCTGCCGCACATTTTTTTCCATTTTCCAAAAAATATAAAAATCCTAAGACTTAAAAACAATACAACAAAAATATAAAAATGGAAACAAAAACGAAATGTGCAATGAACTTTATGATGATGTCGGCAGTACCTGAGAACTAAGACTATTATTTTTTTTAACCTTAGCTGTTGAACACACATTGTCAAACGTTCTGATGATGTTAATGAAACTGAATGTCTCTCTGTTTTTGTTGTTGTTTAACGCCGCACTCAGAAATATTCCAGCTATATGACGGTGGTCTGTACATAATTGAGTCTGGACCAGACAATCCAGTCGTTGACATCATGGGCATCGGTCCACGCAATTGGGATACTTAGACTAAAGCTTATATAATTTTGAAAGAAAGACACCTTAATTAAAAAAAAAGCCCTGTTTGGTTACTGAACTTGAGGAAAATCTAGATCTAGACTTGCTTCATTTAGGATTCTTGCATTATAGAAAGAACTGGGCGGAAGGTAAGATACACTGTGGTTCAGGAGAGACCATAACCTATTTTATGGTCTCTGCTTTCTGGGACTGTGACACAGACTATTGGGAAAAGCAATAGATGGGGAGCTTTATTCCAGCTGCATTTTTCCTGGCTAATGTCGACTTCCTGTTAGTAATTTCGGCAATTTCAATGGTCGGTCAAAGTTCGCGAAAGGTCGTTCTGACGTGACCTATAATGGGATGTCCTCATCGGTAGCGAGAACTTGTATCCGATTTTTATGAGATTGAGGTAAGCTAGGCATTGATTAATCCTGTTTTGTTTATTTAAAGCAGTAATTGTTTATTGTTAAGTATATTTATCTCTTACTTACTTACTTACTTTGGAGATTTAACGTGCGCTTTCCGACTGATGCGTATTTCGCACACGGGTATATTTATCTCTGCAGCCGTTGAAATATATATGCAGCTACTCGCCGACTCGTCTCGCGTCAAAACACGGGCTGTGTACTAGCGGGCAGATGACCACGGAGTACGCTGATCACTGTGTCGGATTAACGAGACTGCTTGATTTCAGCAATTCGTTGGAAATTAGGTATGTCGGAGTCGGAGTGCGAGACTGTCGGATTAACGGGTCTAAATAGCACTGATTAAATCGGGGTTCCCATCATCTGTGTCGGATAAAGCCGACCCCCCCCCCCCCCCCCCCCCCCCCACACACACACACAAACACCACCACCACCATACACACACGTAGGGATTCGAACCCGGAATAACCCCCAACCCCGCCTCTGCGGCGACACCCACGGGTAGCCATGTGGTTAAAGCGTTCGCTCGACACGCCGAAGCCCCGGGTTCGATTCTCCTCTGGTGTTCCCCCGCCGTGATATTGTATATCGCTATGGGCGGCGTAAAACTATACTCATTCACATCTCGGCGATTTGAACTCTTCTAAAGCACTTTCTCAGGACTAATGACTGTCAATCGTGGCCAGCATCAAAATAGTGATTTATACAGATCCGCAAACTGCAGCTTATAACAGGCTTTGGATAATTAAACCAATACGTATACAATCTCCTAGCCCGAAAGACTTGGGTACAGCGTAGTTGTTGACAGAGAATGAACCATGTCATCATATCGAATAAACATTGTTTGCCGAAAATATCACGTTACAGACTAGATCCACTACGCGACAGATGTATGTACCGTAATGGACAAACGGCTATTTATAACTCTAGGCAAACGGTCGAGATACAAGAAACTTGAAGCATGATGTAGTGAGGTGTAGACCTACTTTCAGAAGCATAGGCATTGATTGCAGCGTGAAAAATGGGCCAATTTGATGACTTGAGCCCCGAAGAAAGAGGTAGGCCGACTAGCTTTTACATAGTTATTGATGTCACCTGGCCATTAAGGTGGTTATTGATTATATCTCCTGTATTGTTTGGCCCACGATAATGACAAAACAAAACCACGATCAAGGCGACAGTTCACCTGTCCTCGCGATAATTTTGTGTCATTTCGGTTTCTCGTAATAAGTAAACATGTTTCTGTTTTGTTGTAAAACTGAAAACACCACTGCAGCGTGCTGAGTCATGTTTGTTGTCGAACAGATTCGTCATTCGCCCCACTTGCACAAAGCGATCTCAGCGCTAGGATGGTCTAACTCTCATGGCTTACAATGGTCAACACTCTGATCGGCCATTTCCGGGGCCATTTGTCCGATTGTGTCCGTTTATATGGTTCGCTGGTTACCGCCGCTAGCCCGATCAAACGCCGGGTCTATTTCCGTGTATTCCCGAGTGAGAGCGGGAGCCAGCGAATATATGCAGGCTAACAGAGTTACATCCCTTCAATCGCTGGGGCAACTGGAAAATAACTAATTTGCCATCTAACTGAATGTAGCTCATTTCTTCCGCCTAAAATAAATAAAGTCAAAGCGGCATTGTTATGGGCGAACGAGTAATATGTAGCATTTTCCACACATGCATGAGACACAAATTAATTATTCGCAGTGACTGTTAAATTTGAATATGTATGAGATGACGTAGTTGTTGAAGTGAAGTACGTGGAATCGATTTCTTGACGCAAATGTCCATGGCACACAATAGGCTGGCATAGTTGTCCACCCTCACCCCTTATCCCCCGCCAGTGAAGGTAATAAGTCGATACGACCCAATAATTGGTCTTGGTTTGTTACCATTGTATTTCAGTGTTCAATTTTATTTTGCGGGAGTTGTCGTTTTTCGTCGCCTTCAGGGGGCACCATCGTCCACTTGGGCAAACAAACCGGTTTCTACTATTCGGGTTGACTGCAGGCTGTATATTTGGTCTGTGTTTACCATCTCCCGCCCGCCCTAAACTTTCATTCCAACGTGAAATAATAAAAAGTTCAGTGTCGCACCCCGCTGTTGAAATTTATGCCCCGACGTGATAAAAAAAGAAATACTCTTACCATTGTGCACTCATAAAAGAACTAGGTCAGTTTCATCTTTCTTCAGCTATATTTTTTTTTCAAAAGCAAAGCGTCACGTTCTACGTCATACATTAATTGAAAGACTATTACCAAGAGTTCTCAATTTTAAAATTTCATAAAATAAGTTACGTAATTAGTGAAAAAGGTTTTTCTAATTTATCTTTTTCGACCGCGCGCTCTCTTGCTGGTTGGGGTTATAGATGAGAAACATTTAAAAAATACGGATGACTTTGCCACTGAGCCACCGCGACACCACAGTAAAAAGTATTTTTGCGTTTCAGAACAGGTAAAGAAATTTCGTGACAGAGGGTTCCTGGCTTTGAAGAAGATATGTCTGATTCAGCTGGGCCTGGCCTCGATCTCCGTGATTACCGGGATCGTTGCGGTATCCTTTGCTGCCAAGAACCCACAGTTCCCGTACATTATCGCCGCACCGGTCTGGAGCGGGGTACTGGTAAGGCGTTGATGACTTACTTGGTTTGCGAATCCGTCGACTCAATACTAGACGAATGTGCATCTTTAGTTGACAGAGAATGGATACATATATCATAAATGCCATACTTTGACTCGTGAAATAAAAGTCGTATTTGTTGTTGTCTGACTTTTATATGTCAACAAAAAGTCTTCAAGATCGCGAGCGCGGGAACCTGGACGGTGACTGGTCAAATTGTTCCATCGTAAGAAATATCCGACAATAGCGATCAGCTGTACCAAAGTGCAACGCTTATGCTTTTATTATTTTAAATACATATAGTAAAAGCTGCAATTAAAATAACATGATATTCCTGATAAAGTAATTGTTTCAGATACAATTCTTCCGATAATTTCATCAAAGTTTTTGAAGTTATATTTTTGGGTAATTTTTACCCGAATCACCGGTAGATAGGGAGAAAACGTGTGTACAGCTGATTGCTGTTTCAGGCTTAGTTTGCAAGAAAAAAACCACGTTAAACTTCATCTCTGCATGTAAAACAGATCCTAGCAGACCAAGAGTTACAATTTAAACTTTAAATCAATATGTCCAGTGATGCTTAATCTCAAATTTCAAATTTGTACTGAACCAAGTTTATTGCAACCCATTGGTTTAACCTGAATTCGCTGAAGCAGAGACCATAAAATAGGCTGAAGGGATACGATGTCATTTTTGTCTGCGCATAATACTCGAAAAATCTTTTTTTCCCTCCAAAATACTGAACACTCATTTGATAAATACGCACGGATGCACGCTCCGTGTATTTAGCAAGTGTATAACATTAAACACATGATCAAAATTTTGAAATCACCCGATCAATCTCATTAAAATCAGACCTTAGTTCTCGCTACCGCTAAAGAAAGATCTGAAGACATCCCATTAGGGGTCACGTCAGAACGACCTTTCATCCGACCAATCAGAGCGTCGCTTACCAGATCATGAAAGTGACAGTCGGTATGTGATTTCTAATCATACAACCTCGAAAACTTTAACACGGGGTATTCCGAACGATAGTTACGGGTTTAACGACTGAATCCATACAATCTAGACCACCTATTAGCCATTCGAAAATGTTCTTTTGTTCAGGTTTCAAATTTGTAATCGAGAAACTGTCAAAATATGTTTCGAAGCGTAGTTGCCAATTTGAAATTAGTGCCGTAAAGCACGAGAAAGCTGCCTTCTGATTGGTCATTCCATTGGTCAGTCAAAGTTTGCGCAAGATCGTTCTGAATGGACCCGTAATGGGATGTCCTCAGATCTTTGTTTAGCGATAGCGAGAACTAAGATCTGATTTTAATGAGTTTGTCACCCGATACACCGAGCATTAAAATGATATTGTGATATGTATCTGGGAAAGTGTGAACCTCAATATGCCGACATACCGGTAATATCTACGAATCTAAGCTGAAACTGAAAACTGAAAACCCAGATTCTTCGTTACCGAACACGCTGGGGCCACGTTCACCCCATAAGGTAAATGTCGTTTCTCATCTTGCAATGATATCTTATTTCAGGTTGCCATTGGTGCCGCGTGTGGATCTCAGGCTTCCACCATTGGCTTCAACAAAGACGACGTTGCAACTAAGGTCAAGGCCCTTGTAAGTAGAACGCGTGTATATCGACTCGAGCATTTTTTATATCCTTTATTGGGACATTTATGAAACAGATCTAAGTTAGTCTATCTTTCTTTATTCTTAAACGTATGAGTGTTATTTTCACACCCTCTTGTTGATATTTCTCAGTCGTGTATTAGCCATGTTTTGCATCACAATTATTTATTTTTATTTATCAGATTCTATTTAGTGTACATTGGGTCGTATTGACATTGTCAATGTAAGACTATGTCACTCGTCAGTATCGTCACTACCTGTGAAGATTCGGGATAGAATAGGTCGTGATTATCCCATATTTGTCGTAAGATGCGACTAAAGGGTTCGGGCATCATGCATCGTATCCCAATTGCGTTGATCGATGCTCATGGTGTCAATCACTGTATTGTCTCGTCCAGACTCAATTATTTACTGACCACCGTCATATACCTGGAATATTGCTGACCAATCAATCAATCAATCGTCGCCTATATTGGGCTATGTATATTACAATGTTCCTCTATCACCTGTATATACACGAGGAATCAAGTCAAGCTAGTCGAGTCAAGTCATATGAACCCTACTTCATACATAAATGCTTTGCGAAAGCTATCATTGTCTGTGTTTAGTTATATACCACACGATGTTGTCAAGCGAGGAACATTACCGCTTGCATGGATGGATGTAAACTGAGTGCTCAATGATCGGAGCACGAGCTGGTAGCAGGAACCAGACCGTGTCTCAATTCGTTGGTTAAAATATCAACTGCATCTCAAAACAGTTCATACATACGAAGTATTCACGATGCCCGCTCTCCCATCAGTACCTCTTTTTCTAATAATTAGACATCAAAATCATATTGACATGACAATTTTCACAAGCTCATCAATGGTTACTTATCATTTTGAAAAAACACGAAAAATGTCCGCTAGAAGCAGAACATGGACATTTAGTTTAGGTTGTTGGAACATCGTTGCCGCTTCAGAAACCGTTTAATATTGTTTTATACTTTAAGTATCACGTTGTCAACAAAAGGGTGTGACTCAGTCAAATATCCAACTTTGTCTGCCACTTTGCTAGAAGTTTGGTTGTACCATAAACAGCTCTTTAATATGATAGATGATTGTTCTGGCATATGCTTGAGGTCAAGGTAATTAATTATGAAATAATCATACAAACAGCTTTGAACCTACTTACACATTTTACGATTTTAATTCAGCTTTGTATAATTGACCTCTTGGACAATGGCTCGATTTGAATAGACGGCTGAAAGGTCAAAGTCTCGAGTACGTGTTCATCAAAGATAAATTTGTCAAAATGGCCAGTAATATTTTCGCAGGACTCAAACCTCTCAGTTATTTTGACGCCTGATGTAATGCAGTATGATAAATCTGACGGTTTGACCTAGGCTACTGGACTGTGATTCAGTGATGTTTGCACACAAAAATCACTTGACCGTATCTCAAACAAAGTCGTGTGAAATATCAACTGGGACCCCAACACCCCAGATGAATAAGTTTTAAGGTTTTAATGAAAAATAAATATGGAACTCAAGTCGTTTGTGAACTAATAAAGGTGAGCTTCGGTACCTGCGGTTTGCCGTAGGTAGTTTATTTATTAATGAAATTGAAGGTATATTTACCGCATTTAAGTTTGTAGTGTATGGTTTAGGTATTGCATATTGCTTATATATTGTATGTTGTTTATGGTTTGAGTATTGCATATTCTATAGTGATTGTGTGTAGTTTATGGTTTGGGTGTTGCATATTGTATAGTTATTGCATGTAGTTGATGGTTTGGGTAGTGCATATTGTATAGTTATTGTGTGTAGTTTATGGTTTGGGTGTTGCATATTGTATAGTTATTGTGTGTAGTTTGTGGTTTGGGTAGTGCATATTGTATAGTTATTGTGTGTAGTTTATGGTTTGAGTATTGCATATTGTATAGTTATTGTGTGTAGTTTATGGTTTGGGTAGTGCATATTGTATAGTTATTGTGTGTAGTTTATGGTTTGAGTGCTGCATATTGTATAGTTATTGCATATAGTTGATGGTTTGGGTAGTGCATATTGTATAGTTATTGTGTGTAGTTTATGGTTTGGGTGTTGCATATTGTATAGTAATTGCATGTAGTTGATGGTTTGGGTAGTGCATATTGTATAGTTATTGTGTGTAGTTTATGGTTTGAGTATTGCATATTGTATAGTTATTGTGTGTAGTTTATGGTTTGGGTAGTGCATATTGTATAGTTATTGTGTGTAGTTTATGGTTTGGGTGTTGCATATTGTATAGTTATTGCATGTAGTTGATGGTTTGGGTAGTGCATATTGTATAGTTATTGTGTGTAGTTTATGGTTTGGGTGTTGCATATTGTATAGTTATTGCATGTAGTTGATGGTTTGGGTGTTGCATATTGTATAGTTATTGTGTGTAGTTTATGGTTTGGGTGTTGCATATTGTATAGTTATTGTGTGTAGTTTATGGTTTGGGTAGTGCATATTGTATAGTTATTGCATGTAGTTGATGGTTTGGGTAGTGCATATTGTATAGTTATTGTGTGTAGTTTATGGTTTGGGTGTTGCATATTGTATAGTTATTGTGTGTAGTTTGTGGTTTGGGTAGTGCATATTGTATAGTTATTGTGTGTAGTTTATGGTTTGGGTGTTGCATATTGTATAGTTATTGCATGTAGTTGATGGTTTGGGTGTTGCATATTGTATAGTTATTGTGTGTAGTTTATGGTTTGAGTGTTGCATATTGTATAGTTATTGCATATAGTTGATGGTTTGGGTAGTGCATATTGTATAGTTATTGTGTGTAGTTTATGGTTTGGGTGTTGCATATTGTATAGTTATTGCATGTAGTTGATGGTTTGGGTAGTGCATATTGTATAGTTATTGTGTGTAGTTTATGGTTTGGGTGTTGCATATTGTATAGTTATTGCATGTAGTTTATGGTTTGGGTAGTGCATATTGTATAGTTATTGTGTGTAGTTTATGGTTTGGGTGTTGCATTTTGTATAGTTATTGCATGTAGTTGATGGTTTGGGTAGTGCATATTGTATAGTTATTGTGTGTAGTTTATGGCTTGGGTGTTGCATATTGTATAGTTATTGTGTGTAGTTTATGGTTTGGGTAGTGCATATTGTATAGTTATTGCATGTAGTTGATGGTTTGGGTAGTGCATATTGTATAGTTATTGTGTGTAGTTTATGGTTTGGGTGTTGCATATTGTATAGTTATTGTGTGTAGTTTATGGTTTGGGTAGTGCATATTGTATAGTTATTGTGTGTAGTTTATGGTTTGGGTGTTGCATATTGTATAGTTATTGCATGTAGTTGATGGTTTGGGTGTTGCATATTGTATAGTTATTGTGTGTAGTTTATGGTTTGGGTGTTGCATATTGTATAGTTATTGCATGTAGTTGATGGTTTGGGTAGTGCATATTGTATAGTTATTGTGTGTAGTTTATGGTTTGGGTGTTGCATATTGTATAGTTATTGCATGTAGTTGATGGTTTGGGTAGTGCATATTGTATAGTTATTGTGTGTAGTTTATGGTTTGGGTGTTGCATATTGTATAGTTATTGTGTGTAGTTTATGGTTTGGGTAGTGCATATTGTATAGTTATTGCATGTAGTTGATGGTTTGGGTGTTGCATATTGTATAGTTATTGCATGTAGTTGATGGTTTGGGTAGTGCATATTGTATAGTTATTGTGTGTAGTTTATGGTTTGGGTGTTGCATATTGTATAGTTATTGTGTGTAGTTTATGGTTTGGGTAGTGCATATTGTATAGTTATTGCATGTAGTTGATGGTTTGGGTAGTGCATATTGTATAGTTATTGTGTGTAGTTTATGGTTTGGGTAGTGCATATTGTATAGTTATTTTGTGTAGTTTATGGTTTGGGTAGTGCATATTGTATAGTTATTGTGTGTAGTTTATGGTTTGGGTGTTGCATATTGTATAGTTATTGTGTGTAGTTTATGGTTTGGGTAGTGCATATTTTATAGTTATTGTGTGTAGTTTATGGTTTGGGTAATGTATATTCTTTAATTGTTGCATGTAGTGTACGTTACATTTACTACATGTAGTTTTAAGTGAGAATAATCCGATTTAATCTCTTTTGCAGGTGATTCTACATTATGTTTTCAACGTCTTGTGTATTACAATCTGCATTGCAAGTGCAGTGTTCGGTATTCTCGGTGTGGTGTTCTGTCGGTCATCGGACGTCAAGCTGTCTGCACGTTGTATCCCCGACACCACAGCATTGATCGCAACGTCAGGGGTGTCGACCGCCGTCGGTCTGCTACTGTCCTTATTTTGCATATTAGGAACATGTTATTTCTGTTGCTATGCAAGATCACTCGGGTTCAAGTCAAAACGGGAAATGCAGCGGCAAATGAAGGCCATGCAGAGACAGTTGGCTGAAGCACGTGCACAAGTCGCTGCAAGTCAAGGTCAAACTTATAATCAAGGTCAGGGAAACTATTATGCAGGTCAAGGTTCAGTAAATGAAGGCTACTCCAAATGGTAGCCAAACGGCAGCGAAATACATCGGAACAATTAGGGAGAAACTTTTGTAAGAAGACAGTCGTAGTTATATGCAGATCATGCAGACTCCAGAATTCGCTGGCCGTTGGGATTGAGACATTCGTCCCTACATGTATTGATGCTCATCCCTCTATACAGGAAATAACGGACATTCTTAAACATGTACTGGGTTCATGTAACCAACCCAAGGGGCAAGTGTAACGAACACAAATCAAATACCGGACATTAGTAATTCTGCTGCTCTTCCTCCTCGATTATCCAGTGTATCATATCTCCACCCCATTGTGATATATACCCTGGACCTATTCACAAAGATAGCTTCGCTTTGAGCATGTTGAGTTCCGTTCAATCATATCCTGTTCTTTCAAACTCAACTCAACGCAACGCAACCCGCCTTGTTGTGTACAGCCTAAAAGACAGCGGGGAACGTCTTGTAGCATACCCCCCCCCCCCCCCCCCCCCGCCCCCACACACACACACATCCCCCCGTTGTCTTATACTCGGGATAAAACATTTCTTCTAGTTCGATTAAACATATCCAGAGTTCGCTTGTACGAGGCTGCGATTTTGAATGTTGATCTTTGCCTAACTCTCAATTTAGATCAATTTTGATTGGTTGTTGTTTGGTTAGTGATGGGAGAGACTGAGATGATGACGGCACTTGAAGCTATGGTGCCAAATGGGTCCAGGGTATCACCATGAAAGAGTGGAGGTACAGTGCCCTGGAAAACTGAGGATGGCTGCTTGTCAGTGTACAGTGAAAGCCCCCAAACTGTCGGTTTCCCATTTCAGTGAAAACCTTCTTTGAAGCTGTGGCCGAAAACATATTCCCACCCACAAAAATCCCTTTCCTTTACCATCTAGTTGTCGTCTCTTAATATCCCAGGGTCATTAGTTAGAAGATAAATACTATGAGTGTGTCTATTTCCGGGATTTTATTGAGTATTTGCATCTTGGAAATTCATCTCGAGACCCGCAAGTGTTAGCTTGAGGGGCTCGAATGAAAATTTCCAAGATGCAAATACTCGATAAAATCCCGGAAATAGACACACGCATAGTATTTATCGATATTGTAAACCTATTGTTTTATTTAGAAAAAAGCATGCGCACTCTTTAATACCTCCTACTTACTCGGTTGTGAAGCGTCAACATCGAACGTTCTGTTGTTGCTATGGTGATTGTGATTTTGGTAATTATTTCATTATAATTTTTTTTAATTAAAAAATTAAAATCCCAATAATTCCCATGAATAGAGAAAATCAAAATATTTGTTATGACTGTTAATTAGTATGCAAAAAATGCTGAGTAATTATGTATTCCTACACAGTGATTCGGTCGCTTGCTTCGGGGAATGCAAATCATATTCTCACGCATTGACATTTGGTCATGTGACCCAAATTAGCCAATCATAACACAGAAAACACTTTCTATAGGTTTTGATACCAACTGTTTTCTCTGGTATCATTGAAGTCCCAACATAGACACGTAAGTAAAACGTACCCATGTAAATTTGTCCAGTGTAGCTCAAGTAACACGTGCATTATAGATAGTGAACATTTTACACTCCACGAAAGAATGTATTTCACATTTTACCCACATGACTTTCTCCCCTTTCCTCATTCACAAAAATATCCAGGGAAAAAATAAAAAAAGACAAATTTATTATGGTCAGTGTGAGATCCTTTGATCATGTCTCACGAATGGACACTATAGGGAAACTAGAAATACCAACTGAACCAGGCTTTTTGTCCTATCCCTTAAAGGTTATCATCGAACGCTTATTCCGAGAGTGGCTTTTTCCCCAAACGATGATTTCAATTTCATGCCATTTTTAGGCTCAACGTGTTTTACTTGACATTCACTTGACATACACTAGTAGTTACAACAATGGTAGTCTGGACGCATGGTGTTCTGAATTGTGGGTGCAGTTCGATGTACGCCATCTAAAAGTGATGCGTACCAGTTCATACCCGTTGGGATTCCGTCTCACCCCTGGAGGGGATCTGGCGGTCTAGGTAACCCCGGGTCGGGAGCCTTAAAAAACGACAAACTTTTGATTCTCGTCTGTCTTGCTAGACGATACTGTTGTTCTGGGACGCTTCTTCATCTCAAAGGGTTTTTCTCTCCTGGGAGGGAAACTGTTACCATTCTCATAGGCGAAACTGGGGTCATTCTTGCCCTTACTGACTTCTCTCACAAAGTCCACAAAAATTGAAAATTGAGGGAATGGTACTCCATGACGCTCCTTGTATTTGAAGGCTTGGTTTGTCCATTTTTCTTGAAGGCCGTACGTCAACGATAGGTATTATGCCTGAAGAGGTGTCACCATAGGACAGGAGTGGCTTGTATTTCACATTTTGTTTGACAGCTTCAATTTCAGAGAGTGGATCAGACAATTCGTACAACTTCTTTTTGTCTTTGCTGGTGATTCTGGGAAAGTTGGCTAGTCTAGTCTTCAATGCAGATTCAATAACTTCAGGAGAGCCATGCCTTTCGTCCAACCTCTCCCACACACGGTCTAGCACTCTCCGAGGATCGTGAACATTCGCAGCTCTTAGGCTGAGGGCATGTTTAGCTGACTCAGGCCCAAGCCATTTGACCAGTAAGTCTTGTTCTTCAATGGGAGACACTTGCATCTCATCCATAACACTGATGAATCCTGCCTTCCAAATGCCGTAAGCTTCAGGTCGATCATTGTAGTACCGGAGCCAGGACAGAAGGAGGTCTTTCTTCAATAAAAATCGAGAGAGCTCTGAAATTGGGTGGAAGGATGGCGCATTAGCATTTAATGGCTTAAAGGAGTTATCAACAAACGCTGGGTGATTAGACACCCAATTGCTTGCATTGTGAGGTGTGTTTTGATTAGGCACAGTAGTTTCGTGATCTCTGATATCGTGTTGGAGTTGCGAAACATATATCTCGGTACGTTCCGCCCGGTCATCATTCGGTAAACAAGTATCAATGATTTGTGATTGCATAGAATGATCATCTGTCGAGCGTAAGGCTGCGATTTCTGCTTCTGCTAGTGCAACTTCTTTCTGTTGCTGCAATAACTTGAGTTCTGCTCCGAGCTGTGCTCTTTTCCGAATTGCTTTGGCTGTGAATACTTGTTGCTGCTCGACTGTAGCAGCTTGTTGTTTAAGAATATCTGCCTCTTTAAGGGCATACTGTACCTTGGCCTTGGCCGCTTCAACCTTAGCGAGTTTTCATGCTAATCTAGAACTCTGTTGGGTGCTCCTAGAACTAATAGTTGCACTTGACTGTTTTGTGGACCTTGTTGCCGAAGAGTGGTGAGATGCATTTTCCAATGTTGACTGAATTTGATGATCAAATCTACTGATAGCACTACTAACACGCTGCTTATACTCTTTCATTGTAGAAACATGTGAATTGAGGTCTGCTTGGCTTTCAAGAGTACTTGACCTTTTGAGAAAACCAACATAATCCTCGGATAGTTCACAAAAAGAATCAAAACTACTTGATAATTGTTTTTCTCCTTCATGTAATGACATTAAGTCACCTTGACAAGTTTCCATAAAGCTCCAAGTTGTGTGAGATAGATGGCTCGAGAAGTTGTGACGGAGTATTGGAACAGAGACAGAATCGGCCCTCTGTAACCCATGGGCAACTAAATGGACCTGGCGGTCAGGCTGGGTTTGTACCTTGCTCGTTTGTTGTTTAACCCCCGCAGTGAAATATTACAACCATATAAATGCGGCGTGCAAATACTCAAGTCTGGACTTGACATTGTAACTTGCACTCTGGGTGCGAGGGTTTGAAGCTCGGTGACTTGGTTGATTATTTCTTATTGCACCCCGATGATATGGAGTGTTGCTCATTATATTAACCACTGGTTTGTCTGGTCAAGACTGTTTTTTGGTTGCCATGATAAAGCTGAAATAAGGATGACTACGGCGTAAAATAACACACAAACAAACGTAACATAAATTGTCAAGCCTATATAGACCCATGCCGTACATGACCGCATGGTAGTGTTTAAGCAGCACTGAAGGAATCTGCATGCCATCCTCACCAGGGGTCAGACGTCACGCTGTATGACACAAGCAAATACTCTCAGTCGGCACAGTGAATGTGAAACTGTTGACTCCAGTCACAGAACATACTTTACCAGTTAATTCAACAGATCAGAAAACGGACAATCAGCGTATGTTTTAGCGTCATCTTACGTTCATAAAAGCAGAGCGGACATGATACTGGTACCTCAAAACACTCTAACAAAACTCTGATATATGCATCTTTATGATGTTACATTTAACTATATATGTATCTCTACCTTCAGACACAAGTGTCTGATGTCTGGGGCTTTAGTCCTTGGTGTCTACATTTCACATCTTTGAAGTACAATCGAGCAAACCCTTTCCACCATGATATCCAAGAGCGTCATTCAACTCTTGCTCAGAAGTTGTTTGATGTCCAAGAGCGTCATTCAACTCTTGCTCAGAAGTTGTTTGATGTCCAAGAGCGCCATTCAACTCTTGCTCAGAAGTTGTTTGATGTCCAAGAGCGTCATTCAACTCTTGCTCAGAAGTTGTTTGATGTCCAAGAGCGTCATTCGACTCTTGCTCAGAAGTTGTTTGATGTCCAAGAGCGTCATTCGACTCTTGCTCAGAAGTTGTTTGATGTCCAAGAGCGTCATTCGACTCTTGCTCAGAAGTTGTTTGATGTCCAAGGGCGCCATTCAACTCTTGCTCAGAAGTTGTTTGATGTCCAAGAGCGCCATTCAACTCTTGCTCAGAAGTTGTTTGATGTCCAAGAGCGTCATTCAACTCTTGCTCAGAAGTTGTTTGATGTCCAAGAGCGCCATTCAACTCTTGCTCAGAAGTTGTTTGATGTCCAAGAGCGTCATTCAACTCTTGCTCAGAAGTTGTTTGATGTCCAAGAGCGTCATTCAACTCTTGCTCAGAAGTTGTTTGATGTCCAAGAGCGTCATTCAACTCTTGCTCAGAAGTTGTTTGATGTCCAAGAGCGCCATTCAACTCTTGCTCAGAAGTTGTTTGATGTCGAAGAGCGCCATTCAACTCTTGCTCAGAAGTTGTTTGATGTCCAAGAGCGCCATTCGACTCTTGCTCAGAAGTTGTTTGATGTCCAAGAGCGTCATTCAACTCTTGCTCAGAAGTTGTTTGATGTCCAAGAGCGTCATTCAACTCTTGCTCAGAAGTTGTTTGATGTCCAAGAGCGTCATTCAGCTCTTGCTCAGAAGTTGTTTGATGTCCAAGAGCGTCATTCAACTCTTGCTCAGAAGTTGTTTGATGTCCAAGAGCGTCATTCAACTCTTGCTCAGAAGTTGTTTGATGTCCAAGAGCGTCATTCAACTCTTGCTCAGAAGTTGTTTGATGTCCAAGAGCGCCATTCAACTCTTGCTCAGAAGTTGTTTGATGTCCAAGAGCGTCATTCGACTCTTGCTCAGAAGTTGTTTG